CTAGAGTCTAGCGACAAAATATTTAAATTTTGAGAAAGCTGGATAAGATGTAGCTTCAAGACGAAGAAATTTGAATTTATCTCGTTTCTGGACAAAGACACTTTTCGACCGAGATCCTTAATCGCTATTCTAGAATAATCTGTCAATTTGTTGAAGTGAATGTGGACTGAAATGTCTTAATCTTGGATTAAATGGCTGATTCGATTGATCTCGATGAAATTCAATAGAAGCGAAGACAGAAAATGAGCCTTTTGGAGCACTTGGAATTGATGGAGTTACACTGGGTTAAAGAGAACACGTGAACTGAAGATTGAGCGTGTGCACTACAGAGTGTAAATTGCTCTTGATTCGATTCACCTGGATTCAATTTGGTCGAGCAGAGAACTGTCTTGAGACTCGTGACAAAATTACGAATCCATTGATTTACAACGATGATATTTTAATTAGAAACACGAAGAGGATTTAACTTTATCTTTGGTAGGTCAAAATTAAGCGAGAATATCGCCATCTGATCCTAATTTGTATTCTGTTTTACTTCACTGAGAAGTTTTCTTTGTCGTCTTTTGCATGCTTGTTATCAGTGTTACTACCGTGTGAGCATCTCAGTTGAAATCTCAAGGAGATGGAAATATATGCGCGCACGCATACACTAATATCCAACGTCGTAAATAATGCATAAGACTCCTGAAAAAAGGAAGCGCAATGTTTATCAATATTCGATACTTCACTTTCATCTTTTCGGCGATTTGCATTGGTCTTTCAATAGATGCAACTCATCTCAAGCAACTATGAGATTTCACAATGCGTGTTCAATGCCTCCCGTTCATATTGAAATTCTTTTATGGCTCGTTTTGTTCTCTGCACGCGCTAAGTCACGATCATCATACGAAAAACTCTTCAATGTCTCTTCTATTCTTCTATTGTTCCTTCTACTTGAAAATTTATATCGATTTACTATCTGTATTTATGTCGATACATTATCTGTATTCTATGTCATCGACAATACTCATATTTCATGATCTGACTTGATCTCGTATGTACATTGTAAATATTAAAATTCATCAATATAGTACGGTATAGAACTTCAAGAAACAAACAGTGGCATTACATCTTTTTAACAGCAATAAAGTAGCAACAATCATTAAGAAACAAGAAGGGGAGAAACAACGAAAGGGAACGGATATGATCAGTGAAGACAGTTCCAACGTAAAAAGAAATCGCCATCCAATGGTACCGTACGGATATGAGTCGCGAGTTCGAATTACCGTGGTGTAACTGGTTTCCGTGGAAATCAATACTTGCACGACGATTGATAGCGATTCTAATACTCTCTTTCTACACAAGTAAAATAAACGAGAAATACGACGGTGGTCTCCGCAACTTCTATTAAGGCGCCAAGCAATTTCTTCGGGAGGAACGTAATAGTCTAGACAACAAGAAAAGACGACCACTGTAAAAGAGAAAAATTTTCTCTCTCCTTCTCTCTTTCTCCGTGTCCGATCCTTTCGAGAAAACCGGAACGCTCCGTTTGAAATGAACTTGGCTTTTCATTGGAATTCATGATGTGTGCGCGAGACTCGTCGACAACTACGATTATTAAACAGATTGAAATAAATAACTTCGCCACGAATAAATGATAAGTAACGCGTTTGTTAATTTGTTGCAAATACAGGTTCGCGAAGCGCATCGTAAAAAAAAAAGACGAAGAAAGTCTGAAATTCATCATTCTTTTCACTAACTTTGAAGATTGTGATAAAGATCTATCGGGTTTCTTGATAAACGTTTGTGAAAATAAATATAAGTTTCGATCGTTTCTTGGACTGAAAGGAATTTTTCTACAACAAAACTTTCTGTGAAAGTTCAACAATCGAGGAAAGAACGTTCGAAGAAAAAAACTTCTTTCTCGAGAAACTCTATCCAGAATGGGATACTTTCCAACTAGGGAATACGTGAAATACCAACTTACAAGTGATTCGAGTGAGTTTATTCTATCGATTCTTGTGAATATGATCGATCTCAATAAATGTAGCAAAGTTAAGAGATATGAAAGATTATTGTGAATAACAAGCAACATGTACATATGTAGCGCAGGTAGCCTATATGAAAACCGGAAAACTAATTTTTCGATGCAAGCACTCGTATTCCAATATGGTGAAACGTCCACCGTTTTATGACACCACCGTTCGCGAGACCACGAAAAGCGATACTACAGAGACAGTGTGAGTTTCTTTTTCCTCGGACTACAGGTGGCCTCAAGGATTTCGCGTTCTCGTCGAGTGTTTAAATCTTCCACAAATGTGTCTTGTGTGGGTGTGTGTCTGTGATTCCAAATTCTTTCGACAAGGAAAAATAATCTTTAAACAGCGTTTAAAATAGCAAACGTATTAAAATTTGTTTGAGCAAAAGAAAGAAAAGAAAAAAAAAATGGAGAATAAGAAAAAAATAAAGATCGATACCTTTTAATCGAAGAACTATTTTTTAAGCTGTTTGTACAGAGTAATAAGTTCAGGAGCGATTTAAAACGACATTTTTTATCCAATGTTAAACGCAAATTCAGATTCACACAATACTTTTTTTCATTCATTCGATAAGATTTCTTTTTCACTGATCTGTGTAAATGAAAGTTTAAAAATACAAGTCTATACGTAACGTTAATAAAGTGGCTAAATACTCTGCGTTCTTCAAGAGTTAACCTTTGGACTTATTACAACGTGTAAACTAATAATGAAAGCAAACTCTGCCTTGAGTATTATTTCTACGCACATCGACGCCGTATTTTCGACCGGTCAATTGACGAAGCAAATAAATTGTTACAGACAAGAAAACATTAAAAAGCATTAGACCGATGAGTACTGAAGGTTTTTCGAAAATACTTGCACGCTAATTTTGCTGATTACGTATTATATTTCAATATCGACGAGAATAAACACATACAGGCTGGAAATCGATAAATGAGAATTAAATGAGAATGATTTCAAACATCTTTAGCATCCTCAATTATAACACACGAGGAGTAATACACAGAACGACTAAAACTGCGTGGCGCAACCAGATAATGAAATTTGAGTATATCGAGTACATTGAAGATTTTTGTTAGCTGATAAAACCAAGATATCGTCACATATCTTACCGTTATCTCCCGCAATTTGTTAACTACGACACGGTTTATTTCAAAAATTATACGTAAAAAAAACGCAACTATCTGTTTTTTTTTTTTTTGTTTCATTATAACAATGAATCTTCAATAATAATTTAAACACGCACGAGACTTTCTGAAAACGCATTAAAGATATTTTGCGTCATTGGTTATTCCGCGAACATCGCGTCTGTCTGATGAGTCATCGTTAATTAGTAAAATCAACGTATCACCAGGAATACTCTTTTTTTGGCTTTTCAAAGTAAAGGGAAAGCAAAGAGAAAGAGAAGAGAAAAAAGTGGACTGCCACTGACAACTAAATAAGCAGGACATCCTCGAAAGAATAACGACGCTCAAAATAGATCGTTCATTTGCATCTCATTGACTCCGCTATGTTCTTTGAATTGTTTTCAATGCTTGTTCTTTTATTGTTAAGAAATTTCAGGTTCAAGAAAAATATTACGTGCACGCGATTTTTTTTACGCTCAATTTCACGCTGAGTAAGAATAAATGCGGCAGAATAAAAGAAAATTCGAACGGGATTAACTCGTTGCGCCTGACGATAGACGTCAACGAAAGCGACCATGTAAAAAGGGCGCACGTATGAAACCGCAGCCACCTATCTCTCTTTTTTTTGAACGCCTACGCCACTGTACGCAATATCACGTTCTATGTATAGTCACATGACTGTCACGAGCCACGCATTTTTCTCACTTCCCCTTCCCAGGATATGCATACGGGGCGTGCCTCAAAGAGAGAAAAGTGACGTCTATACAGATTGTCAGATTAGATCGGACGCGATTCAATCGGTGAGGACGCGCCTCGTCGGTTCACACGTACCACCACAATAATTATGAATTTTTCGTTGGAATATCAAGGACTTCGAACTTTCCCCAGATCCAGAAATAAAAACTTAAACGCCGATAAGATATTTCAGCGGAGCGTTAATGTTGTCCAAGAAACTTGAATTTGACGTAAAACTTGTATACTAAAGAAAAACTTCGTTGCAACAGGTAACACGCGATTGTAATTTGTCGATGTATTTAAGATACCTATGTTGACAAACAGATTACGACACGGTATACAGTACGAATGCTACAGATAAAAGTTTTCGTATCGAAATTGACGATAATACGTTGCAAAAATTACTTGAAATAAATATCCGTCGTCGCGCTTTCAAAGTTAAGTTGATAAAAACCGCCAAAATAACTACAGTCACCGTTGACTAAACTTGAAAATGTTTCAATGTGGAAAACGTTAAAAATTAAAAAAAAAAATTTGTTAATATCATGTACAAATATTTCCTCGTTACGGAAGAATTTTCACAATAGAAAAATTGACGACTTTCATGCTTCATAATTGCAATTTCTTATTTCCAGACTTAACTATCGGGAATTCAAATATAAAACATTCACGTATATCAAAATAATATTTATGTACATCAATAAAATCACATACCATGTGGTAAACGTTTATACGATTTTTCTGCAGGGTTAACAAACTTGGAATAATGCAAAAGCCGGATATGTTCTGCTGAAGCAGCTGTGAGTCAGACAGCTGCAACAGCACCGTCACTGCGCATTCCACAATTCTCCTCTTCGAAAGACCGCGAAACGCGAGACCGGCTTAAATTAGAATGCAGCCTAATTCGAGGATAGAATTACTTGCACTGCACGGAAAACACGCACTTAAGCTACGTAATTGCGTTTACATCACTGATCGTGAAGTAAATTGACAAAAAGAAGCTAAAATCTGTCATATACAATTGTCTAAATTCCAGTGGCAATTTCTATGATCCGTCTTATTAGTCTTTCGACTAAGTCTTAAGACTAAGTCTTAAGACCGTCTTACAAAGTAATCTTACCTTTCGTCCTACGGGCAAAATGCGATATATTTTGCCTGAGCACCTTTAGCCACATCCTGGCGGCCCCCTTCTGTTTCTCAAAATCCGACGTCCTGCTAGGACAAACGCCCTCTAATCCAAGCGAAATGTCGGCACCGATGTTTCGATGCAGAGTAAGAACCATGTATTCACTGTCACCGATTGGACGATGGTCTCTTGCGCGCCGGTTCTCTTAACCTCACTCTTTGCGGTATTTATAACGATGAATTCCCGATTAACAGTAACTGATAAATAGATATAAATAGAGAAGAATTACTGGAAAACAGCGTTCTCTAACAACGCTCGAGAATAAACGACGCTCGCACGTGAAATCGCTACGAGAGACAGACACTGATGCTAGAGAGGCACGACCCTTTTATAGACGGGACAACGATCACGTAGGCAGGTCGTTAGAGCTGCTCTACTATCGAGCGCGATAATATCGACTCCGGGCCTTGGAACTTGTCTTGTTTACCAAGCGAGGATGTGTCGGCTTCCAGCCGTATTTTGACGAAATACGCCGACCAAACGGCTGCGATGATCGAACTTGCGCGACTTGCTTCGAAATACGAAAACCTGCCGAACGTTTGCATGCACAATAACCACTTTAACCGTTTCGCGGCATATGCCCCAACTTCCATACGACGGCAACGCTGTAAAGAGCACAACTGGCAACCAAGTGCGCGCGCAACATTTCGTCATTGGTAGAGAAAATTGAAAATTGAAACAATATACTTTAAAATACAATAGCGCGAAATATTCCATTCGAAGTTTAATTACAACTGTTTACACATTAATTTATGTTTTTCTTTCTTTAACTTTAGGTTACACCTATACTTATGTGTAGAATACCATATATTTTAATATACAAAAAATTCTGTTAATAATATACACATATGTTTCTTGAACTTATATGTTTATAATTTTGTAAATAACAATGATAAAATTTTCCTTGACTTAACATATTTGCAACAACCGTAGATAAAATTACAGTAAACACAGCAATATTAATAACTTTCATCTCCGATTTTCTTTCACGCAAACAATTTTATTTTGTGCATATTGTATTTATTACACGTAACATTTAGATTTCAAGACAATTTTATTTTATTCGTTCCTCTTCGGGAACGATATCAACGATAAACGATCGAGCCATTGTTTTAGGCCATTGCCTGTGGACGATTAAAAATATATAATCTTAATGCATGCATGCAAATTATTAAACAACAGAGTTCCTAAGTACCGTAAGCGAAGCCATCGTAATGATATAAATATCAGAATTATCGCGTGATATATTTAGCTCGCAGACGTCGAAGCCGGTAAACAACAAACCACGATCCGACATGCGATTTGCAAGATGCGTGGTTTGCCGGCTCGTTTTTTTTATTACTTTTTTTTTTCTCTTATTCGCATGACGTATTTTGCTATCACGAGTTTATGAACCGTTAAAGAAAGAAAGAGAAAAGATATAATATCAAATCGTTCGACTCCCAACTGTTTGATGAAAGTAAAAACACGATCGTTCTTTACGTCGCCGGATCTAGGTCGTGTGATTCCACAAATTAGAAAATCTATCTCCGCTTAATCGTCGTTGATAATATATTGCTAGTGAAATTAGGGCGATAAACGTATCTCAAAACAGACGCTGTTTTGTTTGAATACTCGTTTATCAGGATTTACAGAAATAGAGTATACAATCAAAATGACGAATAAAGAAGTAAAGAAGGGGAAACTTTTTCGAACGAAATGGAAAATACGTGAACGATGAAATACATCCGGTACTTATCAAAAAGATCGTTTTCAATGGATAAGACAACGGGCATGCGAATAACAGTGGAAGAGAGTTGTTGAATGTCAATTTATTGTTCAGAAAGTTATGCTCCCCTTGTACACGACCTAAACCTAACCTACAGCCTAATCTACCTCAAGCGATGTATGTACGTTAAGAATGAAATCGATCGTTTCTGCACGCGTGCGTATACGTGTATATACATATGTACGTGTGCGTGGCCACGCACGCGGCATACTTGTTGCCGTTCTACTGAATTATATATAATTCGAATGCAAAATTCTAGAATAACAAGTTCAGTGAAGCGTCTTATTCACTATCTTTTTTCATTGTAATACACAATTCAATTTTACTAAATAAATCACGCGTTGATTGATGAAAAATCTCTAAAAACGTCATTAATAAATTCATAACCAATACGACAAAATACCTGACGCAAAATGTGTTTTTGCAACAAAATTAATGTTACTGAAGGAAATTCTCCTACTAATTATAAGTTCTATCTACTTTATTTAATAGATTATCAAGATAAAAGAGAAGATGTCTAATGACAAATTACATTACTTCAATCTACAGAAAGATATTTCTTTTCTAATGTGGAGTATGAGTCAACGATTGCTACTAAATTGAATGACGTAAAAATAATGTTGTAAGCGTGGTAAGAGAGATTTAGAGATAGAAGAATTTACTGATTCTCTGAAGAAGTTTAACATTCTGATCAAGTGAATGTTCAGCACATACGCGCACGACGTACGAATCTCACAAAAGAACCGCGATGCGTTACGTTAAAGATAAACAGAAACGAGGAACTACTAGCATAGTAATTATACAACGAGAATTGCAACTTAGCCTCGAGACGGATCCGCGAAATCTAAATACGGACGTCAACTCCACTATGGTTCGCGGTTAAGTTCCACCTGTTCTGGAATGTAATTTCAACTTCTCTCGAGTTAACTTAGCTCGAGTCGACTAATCTTCGATTGTCGCGTGAAAAACTTTTTCCTTCGTATTGAAACAAAATAAATAACGAAATCGAAAGTTTTATTTTCAAAAAGTTTTTGACTACTTTGAAATAACTGCATCGCGTTATGTACGTATACAAACGGATAAAATTTTAAAGAAACAGCAACCAATGATGGAATCAGAGATAGGAAATTATTTTAATTTTCTTTCCGTGTCAGTTGCTATAACCTTGATCTTGTTGACAAGACATGGCTGTAAACTTATTACAATGTATTCGTAACCTTTAATGTCATTGCGCGACAGGTCAATTAAATTATCTTAAACATCTGATTACCGTTGTATGAGATGTAAAAAATGTAATTTAAAGTTGCATTCGATTTGATCAATATATTCCTCACGTATCGAGAAGGAATTATGTATGTATTTCGCGACAGAGGAAAGAGTTGACGTGACTGTTCAATCACCTTTCATCGGAAAGGAACTCTAGCGACGTGGTGTCGATGCTCTAAATTGAGACAAAATCTATTTAATTACCGTCATCGGGTTTACAATTACGCGGCAGACCTAGATTGACGAGATACGACGTTAATTACGCGAACAATGCCGATCTCGCCCACGTATGTCAAGCGACGAGGGAACCTCGTCAAATCGATTATTACATATTTACATTGTGGACAATCTAAACTTACAGCTAACGATATCATTTCTACAACCAAACATTAAAAATGAGTAAAAAAAAAAAAAGAAGAAAAAACAACAAAGAAAATAAAATATGAATTGTCAAATTGAAATGCTCGAGCCTCCGATGATTTGAAATGGCTACTGTACCAAATAAAAAACAATTATCGGTCGATCACTTACCAATAGAATCTCCGTTTTTCTTGCCAGAGTTATTTTTGTTCTTCTTGTTTTTCGGATAGATATTGCCGATTTTACTCTGTCCGCAACCCATCCTGCTCTGTTGCGGGCTTACGCAGCGATCACACTTCAACTACACTTCTCACTAACTCCGAGTCCTTTTCTTTTCTGGCTGTCCGCACGCCGTTATGGTATTTTTAACAAATTGATAAGAGTCCCGTTAGATAAATGAAAAACGAACGAACATTTCTCTCTTGAAGTTGAACGTCTTTCTAACATGAACGAATTTTTTTCATAGAAAAAGAAAAAAAAGGATATATATATACATATAGAGATATAGTTGACGTAATTGTTCTTTTACCGTATTATACACAACACTTATCCGCGAATATTTTTATTAGGCAGCGAAAGAGTTTTTCTTACATGTATTTTTTACATAGTATACATAGATACATATATATGTATATACATATATTCTGTTCTTATACGCGTATGTACGCGGTGTATTTCCAATATGTATAACAGTCGAAAATTTGAGTAACGAAACGTGTACGCTGTTTTATATGTTCGTCAGAAATTTCAAAGCCAATATAGTTCGTATGACAAGCTATCTCTGTAAGATCTGATATATATGTACGTGAGATCCCAAAAGATATGTATATATAGTGCAATAAATGAAAACTAGTGTCTTATAGAACGCGATATGTGAACATTTCCTTTTCTTTTTAAACTAATGAATTAACGCGGGTTCAGTCTTTTCATGAGTCAAACACTAATAGCTCGGGTCAGACCGAAAATCGACGAGTAAATTTATCAAGCTTTTTCTTCTTCTTAAAACGAATCCACCGGGATCCGATGATATAGATTAATCGGCACGAGTCTTCTTTCAGTACGCGTCACCGACGATGATGAAACTTGTGAACTAATTTCGAGATTGATTATTGATTATCACGTTCAGTCTTTTTTTACAACGCTGATCAGCAGATGGCAGAAAAGAATTAAGCAGTCTTTCGAGGAGAAACGTTGTGAAAATTTCCTCTCGTTCTTCAGCGAAACGCATAGAGAGGAAGGGGAAAGAAATGTTTGCTAGACAGCTTAGGGCTCGGTTGCCCTGGAGCCCATGACTTCGTCGTCTCTGGCTACCTAAGACGAGTTATCCAATCCATTTTTGAGCTTCCTGTCCGTTTTACGACCCCAGCAGCAATGTATCATCTATCCCATGTCCAAAGCTTCCAACCGTACATTCTCCCACTCTGTCGTTCTGCACATTCGTTCACTTGTTGGGCTCGTTGTTATTCCCAAGGACGGACTCGGACACGGCCGCAGAAAGACGTCTCGAATAACTTTACCAATTCATCGAGTTCGATCCGTCGATTGACCAAGCTCTCTTCTCCATCATGTAATCGAGCTACGCGAAAAAAATGTTATCACTCTTTTCTTGTGTTCTCTTCCGCCCTTTTCATGTGATCAGCCCCGACCGCAAAGAGAAACAGGGATGGTACCTTAGTGATGGCTTAAGAGCGTGGTTAGCACATGTGTTTCGGTTACGAGGACGAACTGACAAGGTCTCGAAACAACGCTACTTATGGCTGTTCCAGTTTCTCAGTGACGAATGTTCATTGGGTAACCAGGCAAATTAATTCTCGCGATGAAGATGAAGGAAATATACGTATATTGAAATAGTGACTCGCTGTTTTGTACCAGAGGCAAAGTTGACTGGAACAGGGCTGCAGAAGGGACGAGACGAATCCGTTTGATCCTGTAAGACTTCGATCCCTCCGTCTCTTTCCGAGATGAGCGTCTCTCGGCCTCTTATCAGAATTCGATTATCGGACTCGAGCCTGGAAAGACGCAAAACACACGTTTGTTAGAACATTACTATTCCGACGTGAGAATACATGAATTGCATCAATATTTATACGAGCCCATTTAATATACGTATGCACCGATAAATTTAATCAGCAGTTAAAAAAAAAATGAATGTTAACTGGAAAGAAAAATACAGCCAGAGTTATTTTTCTTTCTCTTTTACGTCGGAATCGATACATCTTCAATCTTACGACTAGTAGGTGTATCAGGGACAAGTTTATTTCGAATATAACCGAGATTTTAAGGGTAATAACTTTTTACGTAATACGAGATACCCGGGCGAATTATAAAAGTCGAACGATCGATATTAACTTTGGCACGATATGCTGTTGTGCTCCAACTTTCGGACAGGCATACACACGCGTGTCTAAGAATGGAACGACACACGAAAAAGCAGCAAATTTTGTGCACCACGGTGGCAATATTCTGACGACGACGTAGAAACCGCAGGTATAATCGAATCATGCGAGTTAATTATGATTTTCTTTTCAAAATTGCAATTTTTTTTTTTTAACATCTTTTTGTCGTTTCAGACAACGTCGATATTGTTTATTATTACTCAATATGTCGAAAATACACGATCTTTTCAATCAGATAAACGTATGAAAGGTTATTTCGATTTCTCGAAATAGTGAAATTCGAACTTTAGAAGGAGAAACTAACAATTGGATATTTCAACAACATATGTATGTACATATGTGTTCCACGGTAATTACAAGGTAGAAAGCGCGTTTAATGCTTAATCGATGTTCGAATCAACACACGGTTTATTATCCATTTCTCGGTCAATGTCATTTTCTTTGATTCTCCCGTCAAACACCATTAAATTGATTGGTATATTAGTATATACTACGATGAGGTAGCGTTTTAAAAGCTATATCAATGTGCAACAATCTCGAGATTAATCGAAATCCATGTTACTGTAATTGTATAATCAATCCTTATCGATTTCCTGTGATAATATTTTTGTTCTCTGATTTGATAAAAATTACTCTCTCATTATAAAGACACTTGAACAGTGAAGAATATCCTCTCGGTCAATTGCAACAATGTTTGCACAATCCGTTTCGTCTTGATATCTCGGAGTCTCGTACATCATATTTTCCAAATTTTGGATAACTTTGACGTACTTATTGTAAAAGTACAACAGCCAGTAGATCTACAAGGAATTCGGATATACTCCGATCGGTTGAACGCACGATACTAGTTTTTGACTGACATATCGCTTTGAAACATCACGTTAAAAAAAAAATGAGAACGCGATCTTCCTCTGAATGTACCCTCGCCTCTTCCTATTGTCAGATGCGATACCGAAGCAGCAACGATACAGAATAACACAGGGATCGTTTCTTCGAGGCAAATATGCGCGCAATGTCGTTCGCCTTTAGAGCAACCAGCCAAAATTCGATTCGAAGTCAAACTAACCTCGTTTCACTCAATAAACCAACCAACATCAACGTCCACCTGTTCACGACGATCGTTCATAAATGAGACTCTCTTCGCCTATTCTACGCTTGTATCTACATGTACACGCACAAATATGATTTGGGTATCAATTTACAACGACAAGACTCGAAGGACGAACGCAGAAACTCGCACCGTGAGGTTCCAGCATCGACTACAGCCGGCCGAGGCGCCAGCTAAGTTTGCGCATGCGCGTTATATTGCCCCTGTGCATATACTACACATACTCCACGATCAACACACGAACAAGTGTTTACGCACTACTAACATCGTTGAGATTTTAACCTATACGTACTGTGCACATGCGTTCTCGTTTGTCGTGTACTCACCAACATTTAGATACTTCTGTTGCATGTACGGTGTACATACACATGTACCCGTTCTATATACTGATCGTATCTCTTTGTGGGAGTGCGTTCACTTATACGAGCTCTAGATTATTCTTAATACAAGATTATCTTTGCGGAAAGCGAATTTCAATATTGTTTGTCATCGCAGATTTTAATTGGAAACGAGTTCTATGTAACGCATAGAGAGTAAACGTTATAAACAACGTAGAATAATTAATTAATTTGGCATTCGTTAGTTCGTGGATTAAGCTCGCGGATTGAAGGGTAAAGGAGCAGAGAACCTCATGGAGGATTACTAGAGACCCGCGATGTCACGACCTTCTGACAGGGATTCTTGGTTTCGTGATTGCATTTACAGGCTGCCATCGCCATTATAGTACACGTGTACTCACTGGATTAAGCTATGTTTACGTATTTTGAAACTGTCGTTCAAACAGTAAAATGACTATGCCATCAAATTAAATAACGTTAAATTCTTCACATACATCAAATCCAATATTTTGATCTATTTCGTGGAATTACGCGAAAATATTGGATTTTCACAAAATGTATACATTTCACAAATACGTATACTCTTTTGCACTAAAAAAATTAACTTAAAATAACGATAATTAATGAATTAAATGATAAATAACGGATTAAAAAATTCATTTATACAACATAGAACAATTTAAATAACATAGAAAATAAGTAGTTTGTTCATATTTACTCGATTTTATTTGAAACAGTTACCGAGGAAAGGATTAATTTGCGACGGATTCTAGTAAATTCACAATTCTTAGGACGAAATATATCCTTTGTGCCAAATGCTAATGAATTTTACAATCGTTTAAATTTCACGATGTTTGATTCAAATACAATTATGCAGTACTTATGTATTACCTTTCAAAGATCACAGTGTACTATATAAAAGAGGATATCTGGAACAATGGTACTCACAGTTTTTTTTCTTGAGTAAATTTTGATTCGATGAATAACGTTTAATTTTTATTTATATAATTCTTATTAATATAAATATAATTATTAATACTAAAATGTATGTTCGATCGAATTTTTGTCAATCTTGTTTAATCAGTCAAATTAATATTGTTAGATCAATGAATACATTTACTCATCATATCAAGAAGCATATGATTGTATGAAAATCTGCAACGCATCCATTCTGACAGAATTCGTAATACAAATTAAAGTACGTTAATTTAAATTAATACTCATTAATTTTGATTCAGAAATGTATAGGATATAATACTGATATATTACTGGTCGCTCCCCGAGTCCCACGTAAGAAACAACGATGAAAATTGTAAATAGTTTTTTTTGTATCCATGAGCAGCTTATAAGTTTTATCAATATTATATTATAACGTCAATATCTCCTAGACTAATCGATGAACTACACATACTGAAATTCTGTTAAAGAAAAAACAGACTTATTACATGAAGAATCAATTTTTTATTTTTGTTTCTTTTCTTTTTTTTCCATTTTTTTCAGTTTTTCTTTTTTTTGGTTGAATACAATGATCAATCGGTCGCTGCGATTGATTGCATTAAGTATTTCCAATCTCAGCCACGCTCGTTACAAGACATGCATTTCACTCGACAGCAATTTCAGCGTAATGTGACCAAAACGAAGCCGAAATCCTATTACAATACGTGCGATGCGATGACTCGATCAAACGAAAAATCTCTCGTTCTATCGTTTTCTCGTGTCAAACCCGATTGAGGCTCATAGCAGAATTCGAAGAAAGCAAATTTTCGGTATTTAGTAATTCACTTATGTATAACACTGTTAACAATACCAATATGATAACAACACATATTCCTTAAAGTAGATATTCCACTTCATTTAAAAATGAGCTCATTAATTTTTTGGATGTATCAAAATCACCAGCTTCGTCGACAGATTAAAGTCAACTTTAAGAGAGTTCATAAAACAAAGATTGTTTCAATTTTTTCCTATTTCTTTTGTTCTTTGTAAATTAAATTATTCGGTTTATTTTTCATTCTATGTCCCGAAGAGTCAATTTCTTTCAATTTTAAAATACACATAATATATTTCTCGGTATTTAGATCAACGCAAAAAATACGTCCTATCATTCGCAATCGCATACAAACTTTTCTACATGTACGATATATATTAAAGCAATGTACAGAGGAATGTCTTCCGAGAAAATAATATTCTAAAATTTGATAGTGACATATAGGAAGATTGATTGAGGAGGACGCAGAGCGCGAGGGTCACAAATTCAATTGTTTACTTTTTCTTGTCATCGTATTCCTAATCTCTTCACGTGCATTACATACACCTAAATAATTAAACATTCTTTAATCATACAATCTTACTATACTTCGTAATAAATCGTAAAAATTAGAATTAAAAAGCAGAAGAGTATTTTACATTATTGACTAAATATTAACACACTTCATCGAAGTCTAATAACAAACAACACGTTCTACATGATTCAAACTATATTATATCACAAAAACAAAATGTAAACGCAAATAAAAAATGCAGAAATAAGTTTTTAACTTTTATGTATTGTGCAGCCTAACCATTGTACATCATAGAGCATCTATTCGTATCATTTTTATATTATGTCTAGAAAATTGCACTATAAAAAAATCTCGGAAAGCCATTTATAAAGGGCCATCCCCCCCCCCCCCGCACCTTGCATGACATCCTCCTCTTTTTCATATCTTTTTTTTCATTTAATAATATTTTTGTAACATCGTTAATTATGTTTCATGGTTCACTATTTCTCTGTTACGAGAAAGTGTCATCAACAATGACAAGTGCGTTCCTTCATTCCGATGAATATGTTCATCGATATTTCATCGTCATTTTTACATGCATTCTGTCTTTCTCTCCCTCGCACATTCAAACACGTTCTCTCTTCTTCTACAATTCACATATTTACTATTTCTCGCAACCATGTACTCTCGACAAGATTTTAAAATCCGGCACTTATTTATTTTCCTTCTTTTTCTTTCTTTTTTTTTACTTTTTTTTATTTATTTTTTAATCGCAGTTCGTTATACTTGAATTATACATAAATAAATAAATAATAAATCGGGATGCCATGTGCTTTAGAAACAAGATATCACTCGTTCTAAGTAATAAAATTTCAAAGATATCCCTTTAGGCCTTTTATATGCTTCGGAAACATATTACCATTTGACGAATGCTGCATCGATGTTAAATTTTAGGATACACTCGCGAATCAATGATGCAAAATATTACATAGTGAGTATGGTATCATATCGATCGTATAAGCGTGCTTCAGATGCCCATCGAATAAACTTTCGCTGAAATTTTTTTCTTCACTATTGCGAGTTCCCCTAAATTATGCGACACACAAGTCGGAAAGTTGTATCATTTCTTTTTTGCTGTATAACTCTTAATTAGTAGTCCACATACGTTTTACCTATATAGTTATTTATTGTTCATCGGGCCATTATCTGAAACACGTTTAGTCGTAACAAAGTTTCGATTACTTCGTAGAATCAAATAAATCTTTAACGCTATGTAACAAATATTTTATAAATTCATCACTTCGAAGTGAAGTTCGCGCCCCTTCCTGCATTATAAACCTCAAATACAGGAGAATTTACAAAAAAGAAAAGATTAACGGCAAAAATTAATAAATATCAAAATGCAAGGAACAACAGTCGACTATAAAATTAGGAAAAAAGGAATAAAAGTTAATCGATAACTTTTTCAATCTAAGTTGCAACACGATATTACTTTTTCTATTAACTATCAATGAGAGTTTAAATCTTTTAGGCCTTAACTCGTTACAATGCTTCAAATCAAACCAAAATAAGTGACTCGAGAACGATTTATCATAATCTATAATATCGATAAAGTCTTAAAATAAAGGCCAAGTATACGTATCACTTTTTATTTCACTTTCAATTTGATTTGTAGTTTTTTGTTTTTTCTTTGAATATAATGCAATCTTTTGGTATCGTTAGACCAAAAAAATTTACTCCGTACAAAAGGATCAGTCAAATATGATTATTAGTGTCAAAAACAATTGTTAGAAAAAAAGAGGTAATCATTGTAAAATATCTATTACTATAGAATTAATTATAAGTTTAAAGTGTCTACGCTTTGTTCTTTTCTTTTTAAGAACAATATATGCAAATTTTTCAATAATTTTAACGAAACTTATGTACATTCTAACATTAAATTATAAGTTATATGAAAAGGAACAATTCTTATGTGAGCATATTGAAGACAATACATGAAGGAAGTAGGTACAAAAATCACTTCGGCGTTTGCAAAAATACTTCACAGATAAATGACGGCCCACATAGATTTAAATGCCGTTATTTCTATTACTTACTTTATTTTTACATCCTTCATAAGGATTAAGTTGATTTACATCCTTCAAAAGTAACAGAGTTTTACACCAACACGCGACATATATGCTCGTTTGTACGCGAGCGATAACTCGTTAAATAAAAGTCCCTCTTTTATAGATAGTAAGTATGTAAAGGTAAAAGCTACATATGTGTTCTTGCCATGAAATACATCAGACACATCATTAATAAGATGAATTTCTGTGTCCTTATATTTTTTTTTTCCTTTTTATATTAGTTGCATTAAGTATTATATAATCACATTCTACATCGAGCAAACAGTTGCAACACAGTCAAAGTGTAGTCGGAAAGAATCGCGTAGATTGTTCATAGCTAAGTTTATTACGATTTTGTTTGGAATTTCTTTTTAAATATTTTTAATTTTACGCAAATTGCATCAGACTTATTACTTCGGGTGATACTTTTATATGTTCCCACCAGAAGGATAAAAGGAAAATGGCCCGAACTGGAAGTTCACTGGAGTTTTTGGCGAAGCACAAGTGTATATAAAATCATCTGATTGTAGCTGCGTTCTGTTTAAGTTTGGTTCAGATGCTGATCGTGTTATTTTAGGTAATCCTCGTGAAAGACCTTCTAAATTCGCTAAAATTTGACGAAATATTGGTCTATCCTCTCTGGAAAATTTGATGCAATGTTCTGTCAGTCTCTTCAGTGCTTTGGGCGTATCTGAACGTAATTTATTTAAATCTGGACGTAAATTTCCACGTCCAACCATAAATAATATCTGATCCTTGTTGTTAACATGCGAATATGGTAACTGGCCAGACAATAATTCAAACAAAACAACGCCAAATGCGTAAACATCAGATTGAAAGCTGTATGGATTTTCTTCTTGCATTCTTATGACTTCTGGTGCCATCCAAAGAATAGATCCACTTGGTTGATGGAATTGTTGAGAACCAGACCACCTAGTTTTTGCTGTAGCTAAACCAAAGTCTCCAATTTTCACAGTAAGATCATCGTGCAGAAATATATTGTTACTCTTTAAATCTCGGTGAATAATATTCTTTGCATGCAAATAATCCATCCCCTGTGCAGTTTGTCTTCCAATTTCTATTAATGTAAATAGATCAAATTTTGTCTCGAATACATGTAAATGTTTATATAGAGAAGAACCTTCACACCATTGAGTAACAATAGCCAGTTGTGGTTTGCTAACACATCCCATGAACAAAAGAATATTTACATGCCGTGTTTTGCGTAAAACTGCAACTTCATTTTTAAATGCTTGTAACTGAGCAGCAGTAGGTATTTTAACATTGAGTGTCTTTACAGCTACAGGACCATGCCAATGAGCTTTGTATACTGTTCCAAAAGAACCTGATCCAATGCGAGCTCCAATTAAGATTTCATCTGCTGGGATTTCCCAATCTTCTATAGATTCTCTAGGTGCTAAAAGATTTTTGGCTGATTCATCAGCTGATCTTGCTCTTGGTCTTTTTGGCCTTAAGGTACTAGTAGGACTAGCCTGTGTTGACTGACTATGTTTGGTTGGACTATTACCAGGTGATGCTACACTTTGTATGATACCAATAGGACGACCTAAACTCTGAGATCTACTGTATTCATCTAAATTTGCAGATTCTCCACTTGGTTTTACCATATTAAAACAAACATTAGGTGCAGAGCTTGAACGATCTTGTTGTCCCAAAGAACGTGGATGCCTTTGACTTCTCGACGGAGCCAGAGATGGGGACATACTCCTACTTAATCCATATCCAGAAGGAAGTTGCAATATCCCAGCAGTACTTTCGAGGTTATGTGCTAGTAACGCTTGGTAGTAAGCATCTTGCATACGTACTTGGTGGCACAAAGCAGGTACACCACCAGCACACCTTTGATGAAATCGATAATTGCATGTTCTACAATAAAATCCTTGAAAAAGAAGTTTTCTACAACATTCACAAAATGCTAGTGAGAAGAAAGTCTTGCGCACAAAATTATGAGAAATGGAAGTAGTTATTGGAAACTTATCCAAAATTTCCACAGATATTTCATCGCAGTCAAGCAAGGAAATGTCTGTATCCCAAGAAGTAAGATATTTGGAGTCTGCACCCAGTATATATACCACGCACATTTCCGTAGTTAAATTCCTTAATTTCATTGCTTTGGCAAGTGCGTCCCTTAATGAAAGTCCTTCACGAACCTGTACACTTGTACGCTGTTGATTAGGTAAATATGCCCTTAGCAGAGATTTCATTGGCGTTCGTTGACCTGTAGCAGATGCATTAGCATCACGAGATTCACTCTCCGAAGTGGAAGCACTGCCAGATACTCGACCAGTGTTCAACAATTCATTGAGCTTCTGTTCCTTAGATTCTAGATCATGCAACTTGCTGGTTAATTCTTGGTATTCGTTCAAGTATATGGAAGGTGGATGTTGAAATCCAGCAAACCGATTGTTCAAAGCGTCAATATTTTGTCGAGTAACGTGTATCACATTCTGTATGTTTCTCAGCTCATACCTCAGTGGATCTGTATCCAAGTAACTATCCTCCGAGTCGCTTACTTCCCCCGAATCCGGGCCGCTGCCCCGTGAAGAGGACATAGCTATCTGTACGTGGTGCAACTTTCTCCTCTGTCGACGATGACGAGATGACACAGTCGAGGATGAGGTGGCCGGCGATGGGTCTGTCACCGAATCTATCGCCCCGAACCTACGGCACGAGAACTCCGTGTACGCGTTCGCACGGATCGCCGTGTAATATCTCTGCTCGCCGATCACGGCCATCTTCTTGCTCCGTCGGGCAGCATCCTGGGTAGCTGCTGCTGCGCTTCGGAACACCTTGGTAGCTTTTTACTCCGCTACCGGTTACCGCCGAATTTCTTTCTAGTTCGAGTTTTCACCACGCCGCCGTCACTTCACCTCTTAGCGCACGGCGACGACATACGATGGACGCGTACCTTCAGCACCACTATTTTCCTCTTCCTCTTCTTCTTCTTCTTCTCTTTTTCTCTGTATACCTCTTTCTTACCTTCTTCTTTCCTCTTACGTCCACCAAATCGAGCCTACTTGCCGATACGCGTCTCTGCACCACGCCGCCTTCCTTGATTTTTCGGCCATTGAATTCTCACGATAATGGTCGTGTAACAGTCGTCGTGCAACCGTTCGTTGCGGTCAGGACCCCGAGATCGGGTTACGGAGTTTCTCTCGTGCACTCCTTTGCACTGCCTCCTCTGCTTCTTCTCTGGAGCCCTTGCGAAAGAAAACTGGTACAAGCGTTGTAGGACCGCGATCAGAGGTGCGGGGCTATGTTTCTTGAAGCGCCGGTGCTGCCAGTCTCTCTCTCTGCGTGTAACCTTCCGCCCTCTCCCACTCGTTCTCTTCCTCTTCCTCCGTTTGAATTCTACCTGTTTACCAGCGCAAATCGCTCTCAATCTTCACGTTTCGATGAATTATTACTTACTTTTTCTTATTTTCCAGACTTTCAGACAATTCCGCGTCATCTGCGGTAGAGTAATATTTTTTAATTTCAGTTTTTTCTTTACCTTGATGAAACGTTCGATTATCGAAACCTTGGGATATAATTTTGCGACGAAGCAACGTTTCTTAACTTGTTTTAAGATCATCTTAACATATTACGTTACTTTTCATTTATTTAAACATTTGCACAATTTTGTTTTTGAGTTCAAGTAATTTATTGTTACTATAACTTTATATCTGATTATTGTGTTTTAATAAGTTTATTCTATTTTTCCTTTCTTTTTGTTATTTAAAACAAAGTATATACTACTTGAGAAACAACAGTTTGGAATAGATCTATAATTCAAGTTCAATTTTTCTGTAAACATAGCTACTCTCATTGCGTTTCTGACGTCACTGCAGACGTGCTTTGACGTCAGCAGCATATGGTACAGTTACCTAGGCAACAGAAGTCCATCGTAATTGGTTCAATGCTTGCGTACATACCTCACCGTGCGCACATCTACTAATAGTTGAAAAAAGAAGATATCCGAAACATATTGGAAAATAACTTGAAAATCGACGAGATTGACGTCTTCTAATATCAACTATTTATTTTTTTATATCGCCAAAATTCATATCGATGAAGTCATTGGTCTTCAATAATTTATACTCATAATTTATCTGTTCGACTTTGTACTTGTTTTTTTTGATTGAAAAGCGAAAATGGTAGCCGGCAAAGTAGCCTTTGTAACAGGTGTGCATCAAAAAAAAAAAAAAGAAAAATATTTTTAAAAGATATTTGCGATAAACAGTTTCTATTAAAATAGAATTTATTTCAATTACAGGCGCTGGCAGTGGCATAGGTAGAGAAGTATGCCGTATTTTGGCCAAGCAAGGAGCTAGGGTTATTGCTGCCGATCGGAACTTAAAAAGTGCCATGAATACCATTGCTTCTTTAAATGGTTTGAAAGTAAAACATAATTTTTTTTCTTAATTATTTACTTACGCACAATTATCAAAATTATGTACAATATTTTTTAGATCCTGGACATTTGGCATTAAATATTGAAGTTTCAAGTGAGCAAAGTGTCCAAGAAGCATTTAAAAGTGCAATAAACAAATACTCAATTCCACCCACTATTATAGTTAATTCTGCTGGGATCACACGTGATCAGTTCATTTTGAAACTTACCAATGAAGATTTTACTAAAGTACTTGATGTAAATTTAAAAGGAACATTTTATATAAATCAAACAGCAGTAAAAGAAATTGTTAATGCTAATACAGGTATAGGTAGTTCGATTGTTAATGTGAGCTCTATTATTGGGAAAACAGGGAATATGGGTCAAGCTAATTATGCAGCATCAAAAGCTGGAGTAATAGCACTTACACAAACTGCTTCTTTAGAGTTTGGACAGTAAGTACAGAAATAGTAATACTGCTTTATAATATCATCAGTTATATATTTTTGTTATAGATTTGGAATTCGCGTTAATGCAGTACTACCAGGTTTCATAGAAACGCCTATGACGGAAACTGTACCTGATAATGTAAAGCAGTTATTTATAAAAAAGATACCTCTTCACAGAATGGGAAAACCAGAAGAGGTGGCAGAAGTAATTACATTTTTAGCATCTTCCAAAAGTTCCTACATAAATGGTGCATCTATTGAAGTTACAGGAGGATTGCATTAAATTTATACATACATTTTTAGATACATATGTATATACAGAATAGACTATTTAAATTGGATCTAAATTAACTCCGTTATTTTTAAAAATATGGATAAATTTTGTTAATAAAAGTTATTCAATACTGAGAAGATCATAATACAGCAGTAATAATTCATTGTGGATGGAGAGACTTTCGAAGACTTCAAAATTATCTCTACTTTTTTAAATGTAATGATATATTTTTCTACTCGTTAATCGATGCATTCTCTATAAGAAAATATTCTTTACAAGAAAGTATGTAATCGAAAAACTGTTAATTTAGGAAATATTTTAACTTTAATTCTGTAAAATCTATGCATAAAAGACAGGAACAGTATGAACACAAAAATACTATCCCTGTTTTTATTTGTCTTTCATACGATAGATTTTACAGCATTAAGATTTAAATATCTCTCTAATGGCTTTTCAACATATATAGGTTAGTACTTTTTTATAGAGAATGTTGATTAGTGAATAAAAAAATATATTATTTCATTTTAAAAAATGGTGGCGACCTTAAAATCTTCAAAACTGCTCCACTCACAAAAAGATTATTACTGCACTATTATACCTCCTTAGTACTGAATAACAAAATTTATCCACTGCACTAAAAACAATAGAATTATTTAAGTGATCTCATTTAAGTAGTTTACCTTGTATATTTACATATATACATATATATATAATTAAATATTCACATACATACAAGCACATATGTATGTATATATTTTTATAATTAAATTTATATTTCTTTTAATAATTATAAATTTTACAAGTGTCATTTGAAATGTTGGTTTAAAATATATTATATATTATATATTTATAAGTTACATTTATCATTTTTTCTTTCCTTTAAGTTTCTTTGCATGTCTGTGAGCTTTATAATGTAATTTTTTCTTCTCATCAATGATTTCCTTATATTTACGTTTGTTATATTTAGAAAATTGAGCATCAGCCATAAGTTCATCCACAATCGTGTTCTTACGTTCTTTTTTAGTAAGACGTCCAGAATAATAATCCAAATGTGAGTCCATAACTTTACCAATTTGAAAGTACTTTGGTATTGTTTTAAGATCATTTTTCTTATAGAAACGTTTTGGATCCAATACCGATCTCATTCTTATAATTTGAAGGTCATGTCTGACCTCTGGTGTCAATTCAGGAGCAGGCAGATTATACCAATCTTTGCCTTTAGTTTTAGCACGTTCTTTGCGATTCTTAGCTTGTAATACCCTTTTACTTAACTCGTACGGAGGCACAGCAAGCAGCTTTTCAAAACCAGGTACTATGACGCTTTTTTTAAGTACCTTTTCTACTGGTGTTAATTCCATTGTAAAATTAGTTATGTCTGGAACAGGAATTGCCTCTTGACTTTTCTTTTTCTGAGATCCTTTGTTTGACCAACCCATATTTTCTTCAAATTCCTCAAGATCAAAATCTTTAGTTACACTGCGAAATACTCTTTTTGTTGAAACTTCATCCTGGGTTAAATCTTCTACGTCAAAAAATTTGACTGGCTGTGTGCCTGTTAAATTAATGTAAAAACATTGTTATTGTCGCATATTTCTAACCTCTAAAGATATGATGAAATGTAAATTTTAATTACCGCTATTTTCAAAATCAAAATCATCTTCATCATTATCTGTCAAATGATCTTTTGTTAGTAAATCTGCTTCGCCTTTCGTATCAATTATTATATCCATTATGAAAATTAATTGTTCTAAAAACTAAACAACGTGACTTCTTAACATAAACTACACTGCAAACCTTATGCCTAGTAAATTCTATTGTCTTTTTTCAATTTCAGTGTCTGCCTCTATGATTGTTACCAAAGGGATGGAAATGATATAGAATGTAATATGGATGCGTTTATGAAAGAAGAGATAGAGAAGAAACGTAGAGAAATGCGTTTCGTCTCAGAATCGATGGCAGCGAACCCCAGACGCTTGTTGCGAACCACTAGACTGGGCGGACTATCCTGGCAGTGTTCCGCACGCTCTATGCTTATTTGTTATCGTTCAGATTCGACGCTAATTGTAAACGGCATCCATTTACATGTGCGAAAAAACCCAATTTAGCGAAATGAATTGTGATCTTTTGTGATTGTATTAAACCCTTAGCTTTCTTTTCATACTCCATTTGACCCGTAAAATGCAGAAATAAGTGTTTTTGTAAATAATTAGTACCATGAGCTACCGCTAGACGGCGCCACCATATCCATATTGTAACAGTTCGCACTAATTACAAAAAAAACCTAATTAAGAGAAATAATTTGCGAACTTTTTTATATGCTTCCTTAAAATTAGGCTCCCCGCTTTCTTCCTATGTGTGTTTTGTCCTAGAAAAACATGTTGAATTTTTTTTTCAATAGATCGAAGAATGTCCTTGTCGCACGCTATTCCTCCCCTTTTCTACCGCGCATATATATCTGTCTAATGACGCTAGACAAGGAGAGGAATAGTGTGCAACAAGGACAAACATATTCGCACGGCGGACAAGGAGGGCAATAACATGCGATGAGGACAGCAATATAAATAAGTTTCACCATTCCGTTGTGTGCTTGTCTCGAATTTCCTACCCAAGCAACTGGGATGTAAGCAATTGTTATTATCTACCCAACTGATGAGTTTAGATGCATGATCTCCCAAGGATGAAATGAATCTTATTGTTTTCTCCCTAATTTTGTTTTCGACACGATCATTTTCCCTTCATTCAGGCGTTTTGAGCACTTGCGTATCTTTAGATGGAAATGTTTAGTTTGTGCAAGTGTCAAAATGTGACAAAATATACTATTTATTTTTTTCATACATATCTACTTATGTTTGTGTAACCAGAAACGGTTACTTTTCACGTAGCAAAAGTAATTATTTGTTTGAAATTCGAAAATAAGCTGAAATATTTGACAAACTAATATGTCTTACAAAATACTAATGTATTTCCATGTTCGTGCACATCAAATATGAAAAATGTGTTATTTTTTTCTTTGGTCACGATTATTAACTTATTTTTCACGATTAAAAACTTATTTTCACAACATCTGAATGAGTATTATTAACAATTGAATAATTTGCAGAAAATTCGGAAATAAAAAAATGAAAGTAAATGAAAGAAAATGATCATATACATATATTTAAATTGAATGGTTTTAAAACAACTGTTCTAAATATGCATTTGTTACACAAATAATAATATAATCTTAAATGTGTCATTTGTTAGGATTCAAATCATATAATACACTATATTTAAATATATATATATGTAATATGTTGGATTAGTATTATAGCAAAGAATATCGTAATCTGCTTTCTCTATAATGATCATCAAGTAACATATGAAGTAGTGAAATTTGTAGTGTTTGAATAATCAATACCTATTTAATAGAAATAACACCTTTGTAATAGAAATAAGTATGCATAGCTATGTAAGTGTATATAGGTACATAAATTATGGAATAAAGTACATAAATTATGCAAAAATATGTTCAATTTATTTGTATCAGCAATATATCATCAATAATTTTCATTATTGCATTCGTGATTTATATTCGCCATAATTTAATAACTATTTTCTCTGGCTCACGTAACATAATTACCGATTGAGCACAACTACTTCATTTCTAAATATACCGTTAGATCTCGTCTCTTTCAACTGTTATACTCAATATTCACAATTATTAGCATATTTCTCACTGTATACATAAGAATGGGCTAGTAGGAATAGAAATATAATGGCAATAGTAATAATAATAATAGTAACAACAACAACGTACTCTAACGATATTAATAATAAGTAAGACAATACTACTAAAAATAAATGTTACTACAAATAATTATATGTAGATTTAAGAAAAATTGAAGTCTAATTTTTACTGATAAAAAGAGCATAATACATGGTAAGTAAGAATTATGTAGAGTAAGTAGTATAAAAAGTAAAGAAGTCTAAGACTGTCTTTTAACAGCAATAACAACAATAATTTTCATTTTATCTCTTTTTTCTCTTCCCTCTTTCGAATATCTCTTTCTATCTCTTCTTTATTCTTCTCTCTATTGGTCGTAAGTACCACTTTCCCACATTTCACTTCTTTTTCCCCTTTCACTTCTTCCTGTCAGAGAAAGTATACCTCGCTTGACAAAGACAAAATTTAGCGACATGGCTAACCAGTACCTTGTTTATGATTTACTATTATTTGTGTAGAATTAACAATATTTTACAAAGATTTTAAAAGATTTTATTCTTTATACTTTATTTATACTCATTATTTTTTATTAGTTAATTCTTTTTATAGTTTTCTTGCTCTGAATAATTCGTAATTACCGATTATTAGTACTCAGGTTAATTAGTGTCAATAGCGAAAGAAACATTTTAGTATTTTTTTAAATACAATGTATAAGTATATACAAGAAGAATATAATATTTTATTTTAATGATTCAGTTTATTAATGATAAACATAGCATACGCAATTATAAAATAACTAATTATATAAGAAATTTAAAAAATATCAAATAAAAAATTTAAAAAAAAGTCGAACATACGCTCGACATGGTCATCTTAAAACAACTTCCTACAACATATGAACAGACAAAGTTGTATTTCTACAGCTGTACCCAGTTTATTCAGGAATTTCACTAAAATTTTAATTCCGATTTTAAGATCACAAAGTCACGTTATTTTTTTTCAAGATATTTTGATCTTTCAATATTTTATCTTGAAGCACACGATACATTTATCGCAGAACTAAACGCTATACTAGAGTCAAATAGCTTAAATACTATACTAGAGTCAAATAGAGTAAAATAGCTTGAGCTTGATTACCTTCAAAGATATATATTTTCCGTTCAAAGATTTTGTAATAATAAAAGAACGATGACCGGTGAAAGAGAAATTCTCTTGAGAAGAAAGGTCAATCGCTAGAAGGCCAACTTTAGACCTTGGATTGGATGATTTTACATTTTATTTTCAGGATGCAAAGAATTAAATGGAATATTCATCGATAAAACTTGTTCCTTTTTCTGAAAAAAAAAAAAAAAAAAAAAACAAAAAGAATGAAACGAAATTCATTCGGTTTGCTTTGGCCAATTTCACTTTCCGACAACGTTTACATCACAGAACAAATATGCGATACGAAGGAAAGAGAAATTCTAAATTAGAAAAGGTTCATATCAAAGTCAGTTTTAAAAAGAAAGTTTTCAGGATTATTGTGCATATTTCATGTGTTTGCATACAGCAAATTAGAACGTCATAAAACTATAATTATATGAACTTTCATTTTTGTTGCACAAATCAGAGCTAAATACGATAGAACAACTCAAGTCAGACTTTGAACTAGCGATCTTCTTTCGTCATGTGATTAAATTAAAAATGACGATCAATATTTTGCAAAAATTTTATTCTGCAAAGAGCAACGAATACATGCAAAGTGTTGCAACAACGTAAAGGTATGAGTGCATTTAAAAAAGAAGTACGTGCATTTCGTAACTGCATTGTATCTACTTTTCACGCGATACACGTATTAATGGTGTGTGCCGTGAATAATCATGTTTACCGATGTATTAATGATTTTCTCAATACAATATCCGTCGAAAATGTAACGTTGAGTTTCAACCAAGTAAATATTGTCAACGATTGCAAAGGTTGATTACAGGTAGCAGAAAATTTGTATTTTCCTAATTATTATAATTTTTAGAGGAAATCGTATAGGATTACCAACGCAAATTATACGGGGGAGAGGGAGGGATAATAAAGATCTGTAATAGCAAAAAAAAAAAAAAAAGGAAAACGAATTTCAGCACGATTGAGCAGGCAATGATAGCGTTTGACGAAAGTTCTGCGTCGGAGAAAGAGAAACACTCCTCTAATAGTATGAAATTTCTTAGTGAAACTTCTAAAATAGACTTTACTGTCAATTTCAGGCGAACTCACGCAAAACTGCATTCGAAATCTTCGCAAATTGTATTGTACACGATTTCATAGATAATTTCCACTAAATTAATCAATTCATTTAACGAGTTTTATATCTTATGGTCACCTCGGTTCATTGAAGTTTGTTACTTTCGTAAAACCGATTATCTGCTCTTAATTAAGTATTTTTAGCTATGTTCCGATTAAGTATACTTGAAAGTATTCATGAAAAAAGGAGAAAATCTATTTTTCGCAGAATATCGAAAAATTCTTCGCAAAAAAAGAAACTGATATAAGAGTCGGTCGGGTGTTCAAACATCCTCATCCGTTCGGTCTGATAAATCTGGTATTATATAAGTTTTACAATGTTAATGAGTATTATCTGACTTTTTTTCTTCTGCCTTCCTTTATACCCAAATCGAGAAACAAATACTCAACTTTGTTAACTCATTGATGCACGTTTCATGTTCGCAAATTATTTTCAGACGATATTATTTTGCGAAAATACATTTCTGGACTAATACGGGAATTCAAAACATTTCAAAATTTCTTTTTGAACACAAAACCATTATCTATGAAAAATATATACGTACATGTGATAAAATCCTTTTTAACAAAAACATGCATGACGATGATAACCGTTATTTACGTCAATGTTTTAAGTGAATAATTTACCAAGCACGTTTTTTTAGTTTCCTTAAAATGTTTTATAGACATACCTGCGTATTACTTCTACAGTCTGAAAAAAATATTTGTTATTCAAAGATCTTCCTTGTCGACATATTTCTTTCGCATTGAAACAAAAACGAATTTAGCAATTCCGATGAAAGGACAGCTTCTCCGCCTTTAAAAAGATACGATCTTTCTTTGCCTCTTTCATTTTCCCAACGGACGCAAAATTATGTTAACTATAAATATACATACACTTAAATAAGACGCATATCGGACTAAAATATTCACCACTGACACTCACTTTTCAATATGGGGAGGTTTCTCCCCACCATCTGCTCGCACTTTCATTACTACCAAGATATTCATCCGGCGAAGCCATTTTTCTACCATTACCAGTCTCGTCGTTCCAACTGATTCTTGGCCATCAAATAAGGAGGAACCACACGGAAGAAAAGACACGCTCTGTCAGAAGTTCGCAGTCTCAGATCGGTCATGGCGTGGAATCTACATTCTCTCTTCCGTCCACTGTCGTTGCTTTCTTAGAAGTATGATAACTGAAACGGAGGGGCTCCAAAAGGAAATCTCTTGGATAAATTGGAAAATGCAATCAGAAAGATTCACGTGACTCTGAAAGAAGTTGAGAAGATCGATATTCTATCCTGTCAGGATAGACGAGGAAGAGATTCATACCTTTGATCAGTGAAGATTTTTATCCGAAGACTAGCTGGATATCGACTGTGATTTCAAATATATCTATGCTGTGATATTTTACGATTTCTGAGACTTTTGGCTCAGATGATCCGTTATTCATCGAAACAACATTTTGTAATATGTTAAACGTGACCGGCCGGTTTTAATCGATCAATCGATTTCTGTACGATTCTATTTTCGCAGTGATTGGCACGAGCGTAACAATCATGAGCCAAACGTGGCATCTTGTCGTTCTTTTCGCGTGCTATGCAATTCGCGGGGTGACACCTTTGAACGTTTCGGAGAATCCTACGCGAGATTCTCTGGCGAACCAACGAGTGAGAACTTTTACCGATACCGATAAAATTACGAATAGAAATTGGACTACGTTGTCGGAGATGTTAGATGTCTTCGATGTGCGTCATCTTGCCAATAATTGGACAGAAGGGAAATATCCTATTCAGGATCAGTGTGCCAAAGATATTACAAGATATATAGAAGGATTGAAGAATCACGAAGGATGGGCCCTCAAAGGTATGTTGATAACCAGTCAGATTTATGCTAAAAGGAATCGTCACTCCGGTAGTTAGTTCCTGTACAAATGTTTGACAATCAATTATTCATTTCGAGCTAACCGTGAGCAAACATTTCTCTCGTTTCTCGTGTCGTACACGAGACAACGGTGCGTTTTGTTTCGTGCCAGTAAAAATTCGTCGTACGAATAGAAAGTTGAGACGAGTTACATATAACGGGGATAGTTATAATTAACGTGGCACATGATTCCGTTGGTTTTTAACAGAAAACATTTCCAGAGATTACGTGAATTGAACTTGAATTTAATTAAACCGTTTAATTAAATTTGATTAATAGAATCGATCAAGCGATTAAAAATTTTTCTATGAGAAACATCGGACAGCTAAAATAACGGATCAAAGTCCATACGGTTTAATTCACTTTCATGAGGAAAGAAATCGAAAGTTAATGGGTCATCAGCCGGTGGCGAGAGCTTGCCAGAAACATCCTCGCTAAAATTCATCTGCCTTCCTCCCAGGCAGTTCCTTTTGCATTGCCTACTTTCATCGTGAAATTTCACTTTTCGCGACACAAAGAGCTACGCCGTGGCTACTTCCACGACAAGCACCGGTTCGGCCCGACAACGAACCACTTTCAATGTTTTACCGCTTCCTCGGTCAATGCCACTTTTCGCAAGCGTCTTGCAACATTATACTTTTCCATAAATACCCACACGATCGTTCTGACCTTTTCCCCTTCATTTTTACGAAGAAAAATTGTCACTTGATATATAAATACATCTTGATTTGAATTTCTCCGAAACACAATACACGTACGGTGAGACACTGAGCATCGATTGACAAAATATGTGTGTACATACACGCAATATCCAAGAACAGAGTGTGCTTTTGTTACTTTCTTTGTAAAGTATACCCGTTATAACTTTCAGATCTCTTTTTCGAACACTTTCTCATCGTGTGGGCCCAATGTAGGTAAAGGGCTTAAGTGTGTCAGCGTTGTCCCTTCGTTTTTGTAAGCTGCGGGGAAAAGATTATACTGCCGTTCAACGTTTCATCGTTTCAACGATAATTTTCATTACTTTCCAAATTGACAATTTATTGTTGCAGGTGTTCTTTCTTCAATTCTCAAAACACGTACGATAATATATTTCATTGAAAAAAATAGAAGTAAAATAATATTACCATAAAATATTAGTTACGTAAATAGCAGTGAAAAACTAGACAGACCAGTTTGTTTTCTCCGACACGAGTTCTCAATTTTACGAACGAATACTAATGCCGAAAACTAATGCCTGAAGAATGGACGAAAATTAGATCGCGGAGAACGGATCATTTCGCATGTTTAGCTAAATACATAATTGTGAAACATGTTCTTGACGTACGGTAGAAATGATACCTTGAAGATTTTTATGCAACTAGCATAGACATTGAGACACCGATGATTAAATACTGTCAATCATTCAAAGCAATTGAAATGTTGACGGTAAAGGATCGATTATCGAGTAGTTGAGTTGATAAACCATATAATTCGCCTGAAAAAGAAATATGAAAAATACTGTATAACATTATATTATATTATATTTAATATAAAATATTCTTTCACGAAAGATGAATTCGCGAATGTGGAGAAAACGGATAGCAATCGAGAAAGCAACTCTGCTTTTAAAATATTTTCGACAGCCATTAATCGAAGCAGGCGTGAAATTTTGTTAGGACTCTACTACGTTGTAATATTTATTGTTTCCGGTGAAAATTTTGCCTGTCGAACTCTAAGTTTTCTGCCTAATTTTCAAGCGGAGGAAATATCATCGAATCAAATCTCATTTGACAAAAGACTTTCTCTTTTCGTGGCATATGCTCCACTATCATTATAGAAAGTTCAAATTTGCACAATTACACAATGAGAATGAAACAGCATTAGAAACATTACCATTATGACACTTTAAATGCTATTCGTAATGATACCCACCATGAAGCAAGCATTCTTCGTTTAACTTTCGGTTCAACGTTGACTGACATTTCCGGGTTCATTAATATAATTTCATGATCCTTCATTTAGTACCCGCATCCATTATGGTGTTTCAAATTAATTGTAGAAGTAGAAGAAATGAATCAGCTAGAAAAATCTCGAACAAAGTATGAACAATGATTAGACTACGAATATTTACGTACTCAACTAGATCAATTTCAACCCAAAATATTAACTTAATATTTCACGCTTATTGCCCAGATTTTGAATTACACTGTACATTAGTCCAATTTTCTTTTAACTAAATTTAATTATCACACAGAGTTGGAAAAGTTTTTCAATCTTCGCTTCGTCTTTGTGAAATAAAATATTCGAAACATTGTACGACACGACGACGAAAAGTGACAAAAATAAACGATAAACAAAAAAAGAAATCTCTCCGTTCCTTTCATTGCGTTCGCGAAAGTATAAATTTGCGCGGACAGTAATAATAAAGGCAACGGATACTCTTTTCCGACGATAGCTCATGGACGAGTTGTCGCGAACATCCTTCGTGATAACTATAAGTGTAACGTTAGAAAGTTTTAAGGAAGACTCGCGTACGAAGGAACACGGTCGGAGTAGAAACCACGGCAATTATTGAAATTACGTCACGTTGGATACAAAAACCGCCCGGAGAAAGGATTACGTGGAAACCGGGCTTGCAAACGCAACTTTCACGTAACTTTTCTTCGGCTATTCTCGATTCTTTATCATTCTATTTCACGTGTATAAACACCGTGATATAACGGTTCTTGGTTCGTGAACAGCGTCATTGGAAAAGCACTACGCCTACCTGTCGCTTCCTAGTTCGTGGAGCACGATTTATTCGTATTTTTACGTTCTTTGCTCTTCTGTACGTATATCCATATATATATATATCCATTTTCGACGACTGTTAAAATATTATTTTTTATCTTGTGCAATGTCTCGTCCAGATTACATTTACATTTGCATTTTAACAATTTACATTTGTATTTATGTTTGCATTTTAGCAGTTCACATGTATCTTTTCTCATGTCTGATTAATGTTTCGACCCCCGTATTATGTAAGCAGACATTTCCTTATATACTTTCTACTATATATTTCACCTCTAAACAGGTTTCCTTCCACGTAGGCATGCATGGGCAAATGAAACGCATTCTAGGCGCGTTTATTCTACCTTACTTGAAACTTCCTCGAACCTCAATGAAAATCGATGGTATTCCAGCCGCTGGTACAAACAGAGAGCCTTGTCAAATTGATTTTCGTTACTTTTGTGCGCTTCCTTCGAAAAGGCGTATTTAAAAAAATAGAAAGCACAGGTATACCTACTGTACGTCCAAAGATCACGCAACAAACCTGAATACGTTTCTAGGTCTCGTATATATACGTCATAGTCTTTTAATTAACAAGTTCGCTAAATCGAGGGAAAAGCAGACTTTCGTGATGAACGCTGTTTGTTCGCCACAATTCCAACACGTGGAATTATTTTCGCATTGCAGATTTACGCGTGAAACTATTTGGATTGTTCGTACCGAGTGATTCGAAACGTCGTCCATTGACAAGTCGATGTTTCGTAGGCGAGTTTCAATTAATTCTGGTTGCAAAATCGAGCAATCGGTTGTAAACAGCAAGCGACCGTAACCGGGGGACGTTTTTGTTCATCGATCACCAATTATGGAACACGTTCGAAAACGTACACGCCCGTTTCATTTCCTGCTGGTTAGAAAAGCGAGTCAAACGCGTTATAATTTTACGCAGCTTGATACAACCGATCAATGAACAGATCCTCGAGCTGTCTTTCTGAAACATCCTTTTACCACGTCATACGTTATGAATAACGAGACGAAGAAGTCAAAGAACCGTCACGCTATATACGTCCTTTAGAATCTATATTGAAATGTCGAAGATAAATGTATGTTTTTAAACATGATATTATAGCTGGTACTAATAAATTCACATTTATATATGCGAAAGCGAAATATCAGAAGTGATACAGAATTTAAAAATCAACGAACGTTCAACTGGATTTCTATTAATATCGCAATACTTCCATAATCGATAAGAAGACTTAAAGTTGATCACCAAACTAATCTATTTCACAATTTCATTTACATAATTGTCCAGTCTGATATACAAACATACATAATTAAACCTTTTACGTTATTTTTCGATAAAAATATCAATAGTAGTTTAGTAATGGTCGTAGTATCATTCACGACTCACTACTTAAACATGCAAGTCGACGTTGCTCAAATGCCTGCAGAAATTTCGTTGCATTTCACTGTATTCGTCGATCGACGAACAAAGAGTATACGCAGTAGACCGAATCAGAACTTTTTCAGTAACTCTTGTTGCGATAGCCCTTGAACTTTATCAAGGAGAGTCTGGTCACGAGCATGCTACTCCAAGCAGAAAACCTTGTAAACCGGTCGAACTTATGGAATTTATTTTGTCCCTCACTCTCTTCTCTTTCTTCCCTTTTTTATAAGCCTCTCCTGAACATTAATTATTTTCAATGCCATCGTGTCTGCTATCGCTTCACGTCTTCTTCCTGAGGGCAAGAGAAAGTTAAAGGAACGCAAATTCTGAACTTTTCGATCCGTTTACCTGAACCGATTACTTTCAATGATGAAAGTACTTCGTATATGTTTCTTATTCTCTTTCGTATTTGAGTGTAAGAAGAATTAAATGAGACGTACCGAGTTTGACGCATTTATAAACGAAACGCGATGAAACTAAGCAAGGTTATTCACTTTTCATTTATTCGAGAATCAAACGAATAAACGATAAACTGGTCACGTCTAGAGATTGAACTTGAATCTATTATTCAATGATAGACGACAATGTTGATTGTGTTAAAGATCACTGTAAACGCACTAAATCCATTCTTGTTCTAATTTCTTTGCAGTGCACGATTCTACTTTTATGCGAACGGAATCGATAATAAGATTCTCTGTTATGTTTACCGGGATTACGGATAACGGCGATGATTGTAAAAATCCCATTGCCTGACTCAAAAACTTACGAGATACGCAAGGTCAGGAATTCGAATACATTCGAATTTAATTCACGAATCCATCGGCTAAGGTTAACGTTCAAAGAATGGAATTAAAGAAAGAAAAAAAAAAAGGAGTAATTTCAGTGGTAACGTTCGACAAATGAGATGTCGTACTAGCGGAAATCAATTACAAAATATTTCGGAGGGAAACTTCGGTAAATTTGTTTCTGTGCGCAACGATGACGTTGCAATTTATTTTGCAACTGCAATTTATGAATGATGCAACGAATCGTGATTAGTGATTATGCTACGCACCGTGTATATACACCGAGCCACAGAAACGGTTTACCGCGATGATGGTTAAAATGATTAGATAATATCACTTTCTTCTCGAATAGAAAGTCTTATTAGAGAACAGCTGGATTTCCAGTCCGCGATAGGTGTCGTAATCTTTGGTAATGAAAATTATGTAGCAGCACCAACGTCTACGATCGAACGTCCATTATGAAAGTATAAATGAATACCGTTGACTAATGTCCAGCTTACAACATCAAATACGATATTATATTATTAAATATTAAATAAGAATGTGTGAAATCGAGTTGATTGTATAAGCGAAAAAATTACCCAACAATGTTAAAAGTAATTGTAAACGTCGAAATCCTTTTGTCTGAGTACTGATTACTTAAACGTCACTCACCCAACGGCTTTAGCTTTCATTGGAATGTCATCCAATGTGATCCGGAAGTGGTCACTCGTCCAGCAGAGAGAAAGTGTCTTGAGTGATAAAGTAGGTCATTGGTTACAACTAGCAAGTCATTCTATACAGAAAAAGAGCACGGTGGTTGAGTTTATGAAACTTTTATGATGATTTACTCAAAATCTTATGATAAATCTTCCGTTTGTTACAGCGAATGATGCTTCAGGCAGATACACCAATAGTTTCTTTTGGGGAAACTCCTACTACGTTGGTTCGTCCATCCAGTGTGCCTATATCAACGAAGATTATGGAAAGAAAGTGATGAAAAACAAACCAACAGAAGAGCTCAATACCGAATCGCGAAAGAAGCACGGCGGTCTCACTAGTAATGATCTTTGGATCGGGACAAGATTCGATAAACCACCTTATAAACTGGGATTTTACATGATGACCATCTCATTGAATACCACTTTCTTTCCTAGGGTAAACAATTGGGATTATCAACGTGTATTAATTAACGAGTTCGCGTTTTATTAATCATTTTATTAAACGTTAATTGCAGATTAGAATGATTTATCTAGGAGTGTGTTTACCTTTCTCGTGTAACGCTTCCGATGTTTCTGTGATAGCAAAGCTCGCTGGGAGTGAACAGGCGATGAAACATTCGTCACTTGAAAAAATTCGAGATCAACATGACATGTACGACATGTACGAGGACCCAGTCTTTTGGATTCTATTGTACGTTGAATCGCATTAAAATCGAAATAGTACAATAAATTAAAAATACTTGAAAACATTTCAAAAAAATAGTACAATAAATAGTACAATAAATTAAAAATACTTGAAAACATTTCAGTGCTGTGACTGCTACGGTTTTCGTTTTGATGGCAATTGGAACTGGATACGACATCTACGTAACAAGAAAATATACTCGCGGAAAAAATGTGATCTACGATTTGGAAAGGCATGCGAAATTCGATCAGCTAACCACCAGAAATCAGAAATCTCTTGGTGGTAAGATTGCCAATGTGTCTTGAATATTTCCTTCCTTCGAACGTCCTTCCTGTAATACTCTTCTATTTGATATGGCTCCAAGGAAACATCTTGTTGCTCGCCTCCTTTACCGAAAGTACTAATGACTAACGCTTACAGACAAGCACAGGACAAGGACAGTAACAAAGACAGTGACACACTTTTATTATTATATTCCGTAGCTTTTCAAGGTAGGGTCTACCTTCCTGTTCCAGCGGCAGAAGCTATCATCAATGGACCTCAATCATTAACAATTAATAACAATAACGATCACGAAGGTAGTCTACGTTCAGCTACTCCCAAAGTACATAAATTTAGTAAGTAATTCTTTGTTTTATTAAAAAAAGCCTTAATAGCAATTAGAGAAAGATAAAAAAATAATTGCTAACCCTCCGTTATTCCTAGGCGTCTTCGAGGAATTGTTACTCTCTTTCTCTGTTCGAGCTAATGTAAAGGTTATTTGTGACAATAAAGTTGGAGGTGACACGATCAGTACTGTCCACGGTCTTAGAGTGATATCGATGGCCTGGGTTATCTTGGGTCACACCTGTATTACCACGTTCAAGTACTCTGACAACATGGAGTACCGAAAAGTCGTAGAGAAAAAGTTTCTTTTTCAAACTATTACGAACGGAGCTTTTAGCGTCGACACGTTTTTCTTCATGGGTGGTTTACTCGTGAGCTTTCTGTACTTCAGAACAAATGCGAAAGGAGACTTGAATAAACTTACGCAGGGTACACGGGGTATTGTCGCAGGTGGTTTAAAATTCATCGGTCTTCTCATGTACAGATTTTGTAGGCTCACAGCTCCGTATATGTTTGTACTTGGAGTAGTTCAAGTCACAATGAAATGGTTTCATTCGAATTCCGTGTTTGAACCACCGACCGCGGATCATTATAACTGTCCCAACTATTGGTGGAGGAATTTTCTTTACATTAATACTTTGTTCCCGGTAGATCAAATGGTGAGTCGTCCGATCGTCTTTCTAAACTTCATGATAAGATCAAAAAGAAGGACACGTCTATTCTTGCTTTGCAATTTTAAATAATCAAGTCGTTAGCATCGTGTATTCTTTTTCAGTGCATGATTTGGAGCTGGTACGTTGCAGATGACACTCAATTCTACATTATTGGCGCCGTAATACTAGTTTTAGCGACAAATCACTTTAAAATTGCAACCTTTCTGATGACTACTTTGTTATTAAGCTCCTGGTTAACAACCGGATATATTGCATTAATAAATAATCATATGCCGAGCTCAGATGATCCATTGGCGCTTTTCGATAAAATCTATGATAAGCCATGGACCAGGCTGGGTCCTTATTTTATAGGCATGTCGGTAGGATACTTCCTTTTCAAGACTGATTGCAAAATAAAAATGTCCAAGGTATGTTGAAATTACAATATAATAATGATAATTATATAAAAATATAATAATGATAAATTATATAAAATAATGGTAATTATAATTTCACCATTTTTAGACAACGATTTGCGTAGGATGGCTTCTTTCTTCGGCATGTCTTTTAAGTTTATTATATGGTCTGTATGAAGCAGAACTTAGTCCTATAATGGCAGCTACTTATTCTTCATTAAGTCATAGCTTATGGGCACTTGCTTTATCATGGATCGTCGTTGCATGCAGCACAGGTTACGGAGGTAAATACTGATTGGTAATGGTGATTATTAAATTACAAATAGATATAAAAACACAATTTTAATTATGTATATCTGTAGGATACGTCAATAGTATTCTATCGGCACCGATTTTATATCCAATTAGCAGAATAACATATTGCGCTTACTTGTTACATCCGCTCATAATTCGGCTCACAGCTATGAACTTGGACTCACCGTTTCATTTAGGAAAATACACCATGGTATGTCAATATAAAAATAAAAAATTTATTTTCTCTAAATATTATAGCTATAATTTTACTTAAACGGTACATTCTTTAGATGATCACTTTTCTTGGAGTTCTGGTTTTATCGTATGTACTATCATTTATTATATCGGTGTCTTTCGAAGCGCCTATTGTGACCATGTTGAAAATACTTTCTCCCAAAAAGCGAAAACGCATACAATGATGCAACGACATAGTTATTTTACATGATATATTCAGCAAAATTGTTTATGTCTTTATTGTGTGTAACTAATGTAAAAAAGAAATCATGAAACAATGAAAAAATATAGACGTATTATAATGCGCGAATGAATAAAAATTACGCACAATTATGCATTGTTATACTATTGCGCGTAGTACGTATGCGACGATGTGTATTGTTACTTATATAATAAATTATTTGCCTTTGTATATCTGCATTCTTAACTATATAAAAGAATAGATCCTTGTTTATGCACGATTACATTTTATTTGTACATATAACATATAGAAAATAAATAGTATGTTTTTTGTCAAAATTTTACTTAAAAAAGTTATTTGATACCTTACATAATATTTCCAGTAAACTTTTAACATACAATAACAAAAACAAAAATAGTATAACTCATAGTCCTTCTATTGCAACTTCTGTGTTGATTTCAACATAATGTGGTCCTTGATTTACAAATTCCCTAAACCTTTGCATTGTATTTGCATCAAATATATCATGTTCAGCTTCAATCAACTGTTTGACAACTTCGTATTTAGCTTCCTTACATTCTTTAAAGGATTCAATGTTCCTGTCCAATAGAAATTCTACAAGACCTGGATAAGAGGATATGTATTCTTGACCCCATACTTGAGATGCCAAGACAACCATCACCTCTAGACCTGCTTGTCTAATATCTGCAAATGGTTGTCTACACAATGCTACAATCATACCCAGTGGATCGTCACACATAGAATCAAACCATGATTTTGTTAATGATAAAATTCTATTGTCCTGTTCCGCTTTTTGTACACCAAGTATTAGAGCCAAATTATTAAGCCCACGAATTCTTAATGCTGTAGGCATTCTTTGTATTATCTCAGCAATTTTTTTCAGTACACATGGCATTGCATCTCCCAAGACTTGCAGAGCATATTTACCTTCTGCACACATAGAAACATGTCCCAATGTGTCTAAGGCAACACCAAGAATAGTTTGATCACCACTCTCTATTACTTCAAATAATGCAGATACAACAATTGGATATTTTGAAAATATTTCATTAGGCCAATAACGTGCAACATTTCCAAAAAATTTCATTAATCCAGGGATCAATAAATTTGATAATGGATTTTCATTAGCCTGTGCTATTTTTTGAACCAATTTTCTCACAACTTCTTGTTGCTCTAAGTAACTTAATCCTTCTTCTGTTAATGCTAATTGCGTCAGGATTTCTAATGCATTTACCTGCAGTAATATGTCTTCACTCTCAAGGCTATCAAATAAACTATTTAAAAATCCTGATTGAACAGAAGCTTCTAGACCTTCTTTTGAAGATTTTGCTACATCCACAATAACTTCATATGTACGAAAGCTAATAGTATCGTTCTTCACTAACAATTTAGCAAAACTTCTTAACAGTTCACCTGTATATAAAATCTGCAATCCATTTGGATTTTTACCAATTTCTTTCATTATACACATTGCACACTTAGCTACCATCAAATTTTCATCCCCGATCCTATTTATAATAGCAACCAATAAATTGACATCTCTCAACAATAGAGGTAATTTTTGGGGATTAGAAACAATGCACAAAATTTCATGCAACACAAGTGATCTAACCACAGCAGTTGGATGAATTATCAACTGAGATATTTCTGCTGAATACCTTAGATATACTTCTCCAGGTTCTAAAATGCCAAATAATGCCTTCAAAATGTCGCATACTTGATCTACAAGTTCTCTGTAAAAAAAAAGTAAGAAACTTTATTTTTATTACTGCATTAATATTATAATAAATTATCTAACAAAAATGTTCTTTATTTATTATATATTTATATATTTGTATTATTCATTATATACTTTCATCCTTTTTTCAACAAAATGTATAAAAAAAAAACGAAAATATTTTTAAAAATGTATAGAAAATCATTAATCTTTGGAGAATGAGCTAGTTTTCCCATCAATCTTTATATTTACAAATAAGAACTTTTATATATTTATCACAATGTTGTAGTATAAAAAATAAACTTCTCTGGAGGGTTCTTCCAGATTTTCTATTCAATATATTAATAAAAATGGAAAAATTACTCAAAATTTTTATATATTTAAAAACATCAAACAATTCATCTCTTATCTTAATTTTGGATGAAAAAAATTATTTTATAAAAAAGAAAATTATGTTTTAATGATATATGCCAAATTTCATATGTAAAAATATATATCCATACTTTGAGTAATGAATCTATGTAGTAAAATGTTTAAAATATATCATATAAATCTGTATCATATATATCTAAGAATATTTATCTTGCAAGTTATAGATAACTAAAGAAAATCTTTAATGTATTTAGTTTAGTCTCATATTATTGCACATCTTAGTACACCTAAATCTTATTTAAAAGAATATTCATTGACATAGATTAAATAAAACTCAACACATTAAACTTATCACATATTCAACTGAAGTGGATAATCTATCAGAAATGATTCAAAATAAAGATTATTCTAAAATTAATTGATATTTTTGAGTAAGTGCAAAATTTAATGTTAAGGCATCCGATAGCATTGCGTCGATAAACAAGTTGAACATATTAAACATTTTCTTCAATCATCTATAACTTAAAAATTAAGATGTATAAAACATAGATTTATATTTTTCATCTATTTCATTGTATAGACTCATCACTTAAAGTATGAACATGCATTTAAGAATCACTCTGTATATACAAGGAATGTGGTAAAAAAGAGATACATATATATAATAGAAATGTGTGATGTATCTAAAAAAACAAGATACAACACAAGGTACGAGGACATAAACATTGAATCGCGACGAATATAGTTCTTCGATCAGGTTACGCATTGTATTTATTCTAGACTTTCTTTTAACATTTTTGAAGGAAAGTAACAAGCAATATTTGGATCGAGCCCTTCTCGTCAGGCCACTAAACGTATAAGTGGAAACAGCGAAAACAATTTAAAGCCAAAAAAAAACAGGTTTCCCGTCCTCAAAAAGGTTAAAGATAATTTTATAAAATCCGTACTATTATGGTACCTGTCATTTGAGGTTAATTGAGTAAACAACTGATTAAAATCCACATTACGAGAGATCTGTTCAGTTTCTCTGTTGTTTAAATTTCCCAATTTGATTTTAATATCAGACAGAATAGCTTTTTTTTCTTCTACACTACTCAGTTCGCCGAGACGAACGATTTTCGCTTGTAACCAATCCGCCATGGCCGGCGTGTCACTGACAGTACTGACATTACTTTTTTGAAAGTGTTACTAGCTCGACCTTTGACATGCCAATAAACGACTACCAACCTAAAACAAAAATCATCTTTTTATTTACAAAGAAATTAACTTTGCAAAGCATCGAACTTAACTATAAGTGACATTAACGTGCGTAGCTCTTTAAAATTTTATATCATGATGGAACTATTCGTTATCTCGTTTCAAACAATCGTGATGTTTAATTAGAGAATGATTAACAAACAACGAATCAGTAATATATTACACATTACAAAAGCTATGTATTATTGAGAAAAAAAAGAATAAAACAATCTGATTTTTCAGAATCTTGATCATAGATCATTGGAGCGCTATAATAAAGTATTGTTTAAATTTTGAAAGAGAAATCAAAGTACGCAAAGCTCATGAATGAAAAGGTATTTTCAATTATTTCTCAATCTGACTATCTCAAATCTGCAATCTTTAGAGCTAGTAAATAAAATCCAAATAAAAGTTTAATGAATATTCACTATTGTTTCCCGTAAATATTCCGATACACGGTAAAAAAGTTATTTAAGATTCTGTCGATATTTTTTATGCAAAAGGAACAAACGTAACTGACAGAGGAACTATTGAAAATATCAAGTCCCACTTTTCTTGTTGTATGAAAGATTTTATTTTATTGAAACATTTACTGTTTTCTAGGGGTCAATGAGCTTTCGTATGTATTTTGTACTTGATTCAAGATCTACTCGAACCGCCTAACTTCTTCCATCAATCAGTACGTTCTTGTACGTCGCAAAACGTCGTTCTGTATGGTTGTGTTTTGGGTTGTTACTCTTTCGATCAACACAAGGTAATGAAGACTGAGTGCACATAATAACGTTTAAAAGTTCATGCAATTCTTCGCAAAAGTATAAATTATTGTACGTATCAAGCATGCACTATTGCAATGGCATGTCCCGTATTTTCATGTTACCTTATCAGGTCATTTAGTGATACCTGTTACTACGTTCCACGATATACTGTACTGTCTGCAAACAACATAATTTTTCCAAAATTATTTTGTGAACAATCATGAACGTTCAACGCGAAATTGAAGAAAATTCATTCATGCATTATATACGTACATAAAGAAAGTTGCAAGTACGAACATTCTAAATTACACTTCAAACACATTTTAAGAATGATTTCAAAATTGATCGAGAGTCGATTTTTTAAATATACTAATTATTAACATATACGTATATTTTGTTAATAGATAATTATTATATAACTAAATACGTAGGAGTAAATTATTTAGATCTACTAATTACTAATAAAACACGAAATTTTTGTTTAAACATAGGCTCAGATTCATATTTCACATTTTATCTGAATTTATAAATTATTCTTTGCAGTATTGTGTATTGAGAAATGGCGGTGGATTTGGATCCAAATGATCCTGAAGTACGATTATCACAATTTCTTTATGTTGGTAAAGAATATCCTGATTATCAACCTGGAAACTGGTTTGTCCATAGCTATTTTTTGACTAAAAATATTCCGTCTATTGAAGAATTAGCTGAAAATACAGAGAAACAATTATTACCAGTTCAGATTATCAAAAAGGTAAAATTCAATAACAAGTGCCAAAGTTTATTATATGTAAATAATTTACACATAGTTATTCGTAATATTTTTAATAAATAATTTTTTATTGACAATTTAAAACAGTTTATTTTTTATAGGCATTTGAAAGTAATCTTGTTCCATATCCAGAAACATTAGTGTTTGCTCTTGCTGTTTGCTGCAGACAGATGAAAAGTGAAAGTTTACGTCAAGCAGCTTATTTAGCTGTAAACAAAATTTGTGTGTCCCCACAGCACTTCATTTTGTTTATAAAATTTGCTTCTCAAATAAGTAAGCAAAAAGAAATTGATGCAACAGGAAAGTCAAGACATGGCTGGGGTCATGGTTTAAGAAAAGCAGTAAATAATTGGTATTTATCAAAATCTCCAATAGAACTAGCAAAGTGTGTTACAAGGTACAAAGGCAGATATGGTTGGAAGCATAAAGATATTATAAAATTGTCTCATCCTGTACCCAATAATCCTGGTATTTATTCATTTGATATTTATACTATAATTGTCATACAAATAGTCATATTCTTCACCAAACAATATGTTATTAAATAGGAAGAGCAATGGTCCTTAAATATGTAATACGTGGCTTAGAAGAAATAAAAAAATCTTCTATTGAAGATCCTACACTTATGGAAATTTTAGAATATATTGAACATGTTGAAGATTTTAAACATTGTACAGATGAAGTTCGAGCGGCAGGTCTTTTGGAAATGTACAAATTAACACTAGATCATGTACCTGGACATTTACTGAAATCTAAAGAGGTACATATATATATATATATATATATATATATATTAAAAATTCTAACTAAATTATAAACTAAAATTCTTTAAAACATTTGATTATAATTTTGAATAATTTGTAGATTTGGAGTGCACTAATACCATCAATGAATTTAGTCATGCTTTTAACCAATCTGCAAAGAATACACAATCTTAAATTATTGAAACCAGGGTCACCAATAGTTTCCAAAATAATAGATCAAATCACCAATGAAGAAAACATTGTCAGAGATGAAGTTCATCCAGTTTTAGTATTTGTTACAATAAAACACTATGAAAATTCTGGGAAGTAAGTAGTAAAACAGTGTGTCCTTTATTTAATACATGTCCTTTTTTTTATATTTCGCTAATATGTAATTTTTAAAGACCATTAACATTGGAAAAAAGAGAAATCAAAGAACAGTTCGATAAACCATCACTAGTTCCATCCAAACCAAATTCTAAAATCATTGATGCTCTCTACAAAATGTTGAATATTTCTTTTTTTGTAAGTATAAATATGCTTGTGAAATATTTACATATGTATTCATTATGTTATATCAATGATTTTTATCTAGCATCTTCAATCAACTGGTTTACGTTATATGATAACAATCAGTATGAGTAAAGCAATGTCAGAAACACATATTTGGCGTAACGGTAATATAAATGGTGTAGAAGCAGGGTGCATGATTGCACTTGCACTTCTTCGCAGTGAAAAGAACGTCACCGTTGCCACGTTTAAAAACGCTGGAATTCATGTTGCGACTATTGAAAAAAATGCTACTTTTAGTCAAATTATGAAAAAATTGCAGCTGATGCCTGTTGGAAACGCAAATTTGGGTAAACCAATGTCGTGGGCTGGTTATCAAAACTATAAATACGATGTATTTATTAACGTTGTAGATCAAATATTTGAAAAATCTGACACATCAGAAGAGGCTCTTCAAGCATATAATACAAAACTCAAACTTAAAAATACAAAGTAAGCCATTTTAAATTATTTTTTTGCAAAAATTATCAGATGTACAAATTGTAAATTAATTACTTTTTTCAGATTAATAAATTGTGCAGTATGTTCTTCGTCGACTTATCGCAAGCAGAAGAGTAATAAAAATATTTTAACAGTTAATGGTTTTGATGCTAGTATTCCTGTAGTTATACAGGCTTTTGCGAAATCTCTGTTTTAGTAACTGCATGCATAGCAATTTCTTCTTTGACAATAGTATGACAGTACTACTTAATCAGTTACTACACTTTGAAAATGACATCAACTTGCTTTTTAAACAGATGAGTAAAATAATTTTTATGGAACCGTCAATTAAGAAATATTTCAAAATACTTAGATTACTACAAATCAGATTCATAAAATAGTTTCCAATAATCTGTAAATGTTGCTAATCTGATACTTATGTAGTAGTCAGAGCATGCACTAGTTGAAATGATTAAAATTAAAATTGAAATTACTATAAATCGCAATATTTGCGTGCTTGTAAGTAATACAAAAATTGGTAAATGAGGCTTAAACTTTTTCGTTTATCAAAGTTTTGTTATTAAAACGAATGAGATTATTAAATGATAATGTTTAACTATTCTAAAAGACATATTTAAATATAATGTAAACAAATTTTATCTTAGAGTACCGAAAAAATTAATTAATCTAAACGATCTTTCTATACTGATACATTAATATTGACATTAATTGTTTTAGTACAAAACTATATTCATAAAGAATATTTCTCCTCTGTCTATTTAGATTTGATATGATAAGAGAAATAATAATTTGACATTTAATTCATTACTAACTCTTATCCCTATAATTATCTCATATTAATATTAATACATAAACATTACTAAATATTGCATGTTTTTAGTATTTAGGGTGAGCTGTAATCATTAATAGTAATTTTATGTCTTTAGAAAGTGGTCCAACAAATTTTGTAAATATTTGTTTAAAAGAACGATACATTGATAAACGAATCAATAATTGACAAGTAAATGAATGTGATACATCTGTGATCAACCATTTGATTAGATAAACGAAAATGTTTGAAACGCCATGGACCACCTTGTATCATTTAAAAAACAGATAATACATGTTTACTAATTTATCGCTTTACATTTGTTAAAATTAGTTGCGCAGCTAAAAAATTAGGATAAGACTGCATATTAGATACAAAATAAGTATCTTAAATAACCTAAGGTGCATTTTTAACTAATGATAAAAGATACTTTTACTTTAATATTGCCTGCTTATTTCCACTGGTTGACGGTAAAGCTTTCTGTAATATCTTTAGTAGGATATATGGATACATACGTGATTTTTAAGATGATACATTTCGAAGACTGGTGTGCTTCTGGAAATTCCAATAAGAATTTAAAAAAAAATAGAAATGTTGAAAAATTTCTCACTGTGATATGCATTTAGCCCCAAAGAATATAGATTTACATTAGTATAATTTTACTGTTATATTTCATATTTGCCATATCCAAAGTAAATGCGACAAATACTAAATACACTACTAATATAATACTGTGATACAAAGTACATTGTTATTGTTCAAACTAGGTGAAAAAGTAAGTAAATGTAACCAGAGGCACACCATGTATCTGCTTCGTTTGTTAATTAGTATCAGTTTTTGTTAAAACAAAAAATATGGCAGTATCCAGAGATACCTCTGTTTCTATTTCGGTCTTTGAATTACCCTCGCGAAGTCCTTTGGTTTCTAAACTGAGAAGCAAAGTCTTCTTTAAAAAAATGTTGCTAAAAAGTACAGCGTGGATGGATTCTCAGGTTTGACAAACATTTAAATTAAGTGCTTAAATATTCACGTGTTCTTTGCAGCCTATTTGGTAATTCATAGATCGAAATTAATTATATATTATTAATTTTAATATATATAAACCTGCAATATAAAGTATAACAACATTCTAATTTCTTGTGAGTGAACAAAGCAAGATTTAAATGGAATCATGTTTGTAGCATCGAAAATAATTATTGTATCGGAAATCAAATTTTTTCGAATGAAGTTTATGATCTTCAATCTTAGTTGCGCGACGCCTTATAGAAATACTTAAGAATTATAAGTTATTAAAAATAATAATATTTTTAGATACATTTTTGGTAATAGACATTCATGAAGTTTTGTATTACGCTTGAAAGATTATTTATAGATATTATGCGGCTAGACTCATTTCCTTAAGGGAAAAAAGTGAATTTTTTTCATAAAAAAAAAATTACAAAAATAGGCGTAATAATAGTCGCGCATCATAGTTATTATTTGCTCATTAAGAGTACTAGAATATAAGCTACATCTATAGTTGTAGCTTATCTTATTCAATGGTATAATGCAAAGTAGTTCAATATATATGTTTTTATTTTACGATCGAAAAGAAACTTGTAAATTTTCAAGTAATATTGAATTATGTACTATATCACTGTCATTTTACAACTGCCATTTTTATTGCTTATTATATTTTACAAACTTCAATTAACTTGGCAACGGTACTAAAACTTCCGGTTATCAATATTTGAATCATTAATCATAAAGAATATATATGAATTTAGATTTTTTAATATTTTGTTGAGTTTATGGAAAAAATTTCTTTTCGATCGTACTGCGGAAATTAGACATGTCCATTGTCTATTATAAAAATACGTCCGATGTTAAATATGCAATGTTAAAAAAAAGGAAAAAAGAAAAAAATATTATCACGATATGAGGTCCATCTAAAAAATACTGTACACCTGCGCTTTTCTTCAAAATCCACAAAGTTCAGGTTGTGTGCTATTCTACGTAATGGAAATACGAAAAACAATATATTCAATGTGTTCATGCTAGTTAAGAAAAAAAGAATATTTACCGTAAGAAAAAGGCAGAAATAAAAATTTTACATTTCGTAGTAAATGATATGTAATGTATTTCAAGGTAAAACAAGTATATATATATATCGTTTTTATTGCATTGCACAGGTTTTTATTCGAACAAAAAAGTTAGCTTCCTTATAAAAAAATTATCTGGTATTTCTGAAATATTTAATTTTCATCAGGAAGCACAAATTATTCTATTTTGCGAATATATATTCGTATATATGTATATTTTACACATGAACAGTATATATTGATCAATTATCAAAGTCTCGAAGTACACATAATTGCAATAACATGTTCCTGAAAATTAATGAGATTCAAAAACAAAAGAGAAAAAAAAACATAAATTTATTGTAAATGCATTTTTAGTGCACTATCCTTCGATAATCCGTGAGAGAACATCTATTATTCATAAACCTTTTGAAATAACATCAGAAATTTGTTAAATTTTACTATTGTTCAAAAAAGATTAAAGGTATCCTAAATATATCGACGGATTCACAGGATTGCACTAATTATGCTTCGAAAAATGAAATAACTCATAAATCATTCACAGAATGCCTACTTTTCGGCCTTATTATTATCAAGAAAAGTACTGTAGACATTCTAGTTTCTTTTTTGTGTATGTATAAGTAACAGTTATTTATTATTCATTTCGATATCTTTTATATTTGTAAATGGAAGAAACAAAATCACTGATGCTAATCGATTTTATGTGAGGATTATTGTGAGGTTCTTTATTTTGTGATTGCGTTCGTAGATAGTGAATAGTATTACTACTTTTTAATCTTGTATCTAACACGATTACTTTTCTAAATCATAAAATCGAAATCTATACTGCAAAAGAAAATCATAAGAAATTTACTATAGAAGATTCCTCTACAGAAAATGGTTGTTATGGGATTTTGAAGTTATTTTTGTACCTAACTAATCTGTATGGGAAAGAAGTATTTAGTGACTGAATTGCTTCAATAAGCAGAAATATTTTAAAAAGATTATACAGGAAGATATGTTATATTACATCTGTTAATATTACAATTCAATTAAATAGACAATAGATATTTAAAGGTATAGAAAATTAATTCTGTTCATGAATTTGTTTGTTATGAGACTAAATCATATCTTTGAATAAAATTTGTTTCAAATTCATTTCCGTGTATTATTTCTTTTCAGATACCTAGTTATATAAATAGATCTTACAATTGAAGAAAATACTTTTATTATGATTTACTGAAAAAATGTTTATTTTCGTGATACTAGTACATATGACAACCACTCACACAGAACAGCTATATTGTACATAGTACGATATAGTTTGTCTACAGGCAGTAATAGGCGCAAGTCATACGCGCTTGCACATTCATTCTATTCACATACACATTGCAAAACCTGTAACGCGAATTACACAACTGCTTATTCGATTATATGTAATAAAACATACAAAACAATTAAAATAAATTAACGCGCAGTATCTCATGTGAAAACTAATGAAGCTATTCTCGGTAATAAAAATCCTTCAATTAGATGTATATTCTTTTATCAGAGAAAATCAAGATCGTTATGACAAATATGCTACAAAACAATACACAGACTGATCTCCACAGCCATGCATTGTTTACTTCTGTCGTAACTTAGTGGATAACAAACGTTCGTCGATCAGTCTTTTATACTCGACGACTTATCAACGACGTATTAATCTCTCTGCAACATTTGCACGAGACTGTTAATTCAGTCTAAATTAGGACAAATACAAGTATTAATCATATTTTAGTTAAAGTTCATCCTTCAGATCTTCCTCATCACCACCTGTTGGTGGAACACCACCACCTGCACCTTGGTACAATTTGGCAATAATAGGCTGAACAATATCTGTAAGTTCTTTCTTTTGTTTCTTATATTCCTCTGGGTCAGTGTCTGCATTCTCTTCTAGCCACTTAATTTTTTCTTCAATAGCTTCTTCCATCTTAGCCTTATCGGAATCACTAACTTTTGAGCCAAGTTTCTCCTTATCAGCTAGTTGATTTTTTAAACTATATGCATAAGATTCGAGTTCATTGCGCGCTTCTACTCGTTCTTTCAATTTCTTGTCATCGTCTGCGAATTTCTCTGCATCTTTTATCATCCTTTCTATATCATCCGGAGTAAGGCGGTTTTGATCGTTGGTAATAACAATCTTTTCTCGATTTCCAGTTCCTTTGTCCTCAGCAGATACTTGCAGAATACCGTTAGCATCAATTTCAAAAGTAACTTCAATTTGTGGTATACCCCGTGGTGCTGGTGGAATGCCAGTAAGATCAAATTTACCAAGAAGATGGTTATCTTTTGTCATTGGACGTTCACCTTCATATACTTGGATAGTTACTGTATGTTGATTATCCGATGCAGTAGAGAAGATTTGCGATTTTTTGGTCGGAATCACGGTATTTCTACAAACAAATGAAAATGCATTTATTTATTTAGACAAATAATATGAACGTAAATAAAAAATAATTGAACTTTTCTTACCTTGGAATGAGTTTAGTCATTACACCTCCAACAGTTTCAATACCCATTGTAAGTGGGTTAACATCCAAAAGTACAATAGCATCTGTATCTTGCTCTCCAGAAAGAACGCCAGCTTGCACAGCAGCGCCATATGCAACGGCTTCGTCAGGATTAATACCTCGTGAAGGTTCTTTACCTCCAAAGAATTCTTTAACTAATTGTTGAACTTTAGGAATCCTAGTGGAACCTCCAACAAGTACAATTTCATCCACATCCTTCTTGTTCATATCGGAATCTTCCAAAACTTTTTGTACAGGTTTCAAGGTACTACGGAAAAGATCCATATTCAACTCCTCAAATTTGGCACGTGTTAAGGTCTCAGAGAAGTCTTCACCTTCAAAGAACGACTCAATTTCAATTCTCACCTATGAAATAAAAAAAAACATATTAGTTATAAAGATATCATAGATTTTACTAAATTATTTTTGATCACAATATAGCAAAACATACTTGGTGGCTAACACTGAGTGCTCTTTTAGCTTTTTCAACTTCACGACGCAATTTTTGTAAAGCTCTACTATCCTTGCGAATATCTTTGCCTTTCTTCTTCTTATACAGTTTGGTAAAATGATCCATTACACGTTGATCGAAGTCCTCGCCACCCAAATGAGTGTCACCGTTTGTTGCCACAACTTCAAACACTCCATTATCAATTGTAAGCAAACTGACATCAAAAGTACCACCACCCAAGTCAAAGACTAACACATTCTTTTCCCCATCTTTTTTATCCAAACCATAAGCAATTGCAGCAGCTGTAGGTTCATTGATGATTCTCATAACGACAAGTCCAGAAATAGTGCCTGCATCTTTAGTAGCCTAAATAAAAATAATCATTTATTTAATAAATACTTTTAAAGTTAAATCTGGTTTGTTCTTGAAAGCACATATTCTATATTTACTTGTCTCTGGGCATCATTAAAATAGGCAGGCACAGTAACAACAGCGTGAGTAACTTTTTTCCCTAAGTATGCTTCTGCTGTTTCTTTCATTTTACCAAGTACCATAGCAGAGATTTCTTCAGGTGCAAACACCTTTTCTTCGCCGTTGATCACCATTCTTATATGTGGTTTGCTATTTTTTTCAATTACTTTAAATGGGAAGAACTTAATATCACGTTGTACGGTAGGATCTGACCATTCTCTGCCAATTAATCGTTTGGCATCGAAAACTGTATTCTCAGGATTTGTAGTCAACTGATTCTTTGCAGCATCTCCAATTAAACGCTCACCATCAGCAGTAAATGCCACGTAGGAAGGTGTAATCCTGTTTCCTTGGTCATTGGCTATAATCTCTGCCCTTCCATTTTTATAAACTCCAACGCTAAAATATTTGTTTCAAACGCTTGTTTATTGAATATCCATGTATGCATATCTTTATTAAAATGAAAACAATCATTGAGATTTATTTACCAAGAATACGTTGTGCCTAAATCAATACCAATGACAGTACCAATATCTTCTTTCTGTTTTTCTTCTTTTGCAAAAGCAAAAGTTACTAAGCCTAATAAAATTAGAGCTTTAATTCCCTTCATGTTTCTTCATATAAACGTTTTTCTGTAAAAAAAAAAAAAAAAAGAAAAATATACAATTGCATACTTTTAATGTAATTTTAACTATTTAACACATAATATTTTCATACAAATTCGTAATTTGTGTTTAATTATTCAAGAACATAGAAAAAAACGTGAATTACTGACACAGAAGATTCTAGCACTGACGTGCAAAGTATTAGAAATGATCGCATTAATATGATACAAAAATGAACACTATAAAAATTTCAACAGTATTGAATAACAGTGGTGTTGTACGCAGATACAATGGATAAAAATAATAAAACACGAGTGAAATTACTTGTTGAAGCAGTCTTCCAGTTCGGGAAACATATTTCGCTACCTATGGTACTATACAAAGCACACTTCGAGTACGTTCTTTTATGTTACATGTTAACAATTGAAACCGATGTGATAATTACGTTTCATGTATTTTACGGAACTGTAATAGGAATTCTTTTATACCGAATAAAATATAAAAAGTATACTACAGCATTTTATAACAAGACGTGGCAGGACAGTAAAGTATTCACAGCATTGTATGAAGTTTCAAGCACAATACCTTTTCAGATTTATTAATGTCGATTTAGCCACACAATTCTTGAGTTTGGCCATTTATTACTTACCAGATTAAATACACGTCTTTCTTCTTTTCAGAAGTAAAAAGCTTGGTTACTCTCAACACAACTTCTACGAACAACACGAATAACTAGGAATGACTGACTACAAGCCGCTCTTAGTACTGGGATATTAACAAGGTGAATACGTCGTGGCCTACGTTGATTGGTCGTCCGAGTATCCGTACTAAGGGAAAGAAGAATGTTAATTGGTTATGCTACATACAGTTGGCTGCTATCGATAGGCCCACGTCACAACGGTACCGTATTTCTGGAAATTTCGAGTACTTCTACCATTGGTGGAATTAATGTTAAGAGAAATTTATGTAACATGTAAAAACAATATCTCTTGCTTGTCGTTATCACGTGTTAAGAAATTATATATTCTACATAAAGTTTTTATCGATTGTTATTAATGGATTATATTTAAAATATATGTCTTTATGTATTATTCCTTATGAAAATATATTTAGGTTTATTATGCATTTTTAATAATATTAAATATATATAATGTATAAAAAATTATTTTCTGCGATGTTTTTAATATGTAAATTATATATATATAGATAAATAATTAGCACTTTAATAATTTTATATATATATATATATATATATAAAATTTATATATTAAAAACATGATTAGTATAGCAAAAAATATTAGCAAAAAATAATCTTTTGATATGATAATTTTTATTACTTAGATAAAATTAACAAATCTTTTTCTTTTTTGTTTTTTAACAGATAGTTATTTCAACTCTTACGTATTTAATGCAACGTAATGAAATCTAAGAGGATTATTTTACATTAACTACACAAGTTATTTTTATTTTTGTCCTTCTGTCTTCATTTCAAATATAATACTTCTCTACTTCACATCTCTTTCATAAAATAATAAACAACGAAATATATAAAAATATTTATTTACTACACCAAATATTAGTATCATGATTATTTAATTATGTACCAATGTTAAGTACTTAATTTAATGTTTAATATTTATATCAATATTTACTTCTTGGTTGTAACATATCTAAAATTAATGGTGTAAAATATGTTATGATGCAATCAGCACCTGCTCTCCTCATTGATAAAAGTACTTCTTTCAAAACATTTTCTAAATTTATTGCACCATTTTGAGCACCATGATAAAGCATAGCATATTCTCCTGAAACCTGATACACAAACATTGGATACTCTGGGTGTGCATCTTTCGTATGTCTAACAACATCCAAGTAAGGTAAACCTGGTTTTACTATAAGCATGTCAGCTCCCTCAGAAACATCTCTAGCCTAAAAAAAATATTTCATTTGTTTTATTTAAAAAAATAATAGGAAATAAAAAATTTCACACAGTTAGAAACTAACAGCTGCTCTAGCAGCTAATCCGTTACTCCCTGGAGGTAACTGATAACATTTTCTATCTCCAAACTTAGGTGCAGATTGTGAAGCATCTCTAAAAGGCCCATAAAATCCTGATGCAAATTTCACAGCATATGATAAAATTGCAACTTTATTCATTAACCCAGCTGTCGCTAATTTCTTTTTTATTGCACGTATCCTCCCATCCATCATATCAGACGGCGCCACAATTTGAGCTCCTTTGTAAATAAATAGACAGTATTCGATATTACTTCTATACATTTGAAGAAAAAAAAATCTTACCAGCTTTTGCATATGCAAGAGCAATTTCAGAAATACGTTCGATACTAGCTTCATTATTTATACTTCCATCTTCATTTAAAATTCCACAATGACCATGGACAGTATAAGCACATAGACATACATCACATGCTATTAGTAAATTTGGAAACCATTTTCTTATTAATGGTACAGCTTGTATAATGGGATTCTGTGTACTATCTGCGTTACTTCCAATGTGATCCTATTAAAGATATCATTTTTTAACTACTTTACTCTGATCTTTTTTATAAGACATTTACCTTCTCCAAATGTTTTGATACTCCAAATAATAATATTGATTGTAACCCTTTTGAAACCAATGGTTGTAACATTCTTTCTAAATGATTAATGCCATACCGATAAACACCTGGCATACTAGCAATTGGTTCTTTAGCATCTTGTTCATCGCTGTAAGAATATGTATATGCATGAAAAAGCAAAGCATTATGTAGATTGTTAATTAAATATTAAATTTAATTTATTTTTATTAAATTTTGAAAAGTGAATACATACTTTTTAATATACTTACGTAACATAAAAAATTATTTTCAAAAAACATCAAATCTATCCCATCTGTAGGGGATAGATGTAAGACATAAATATAAATATGTTTCATAAAATGCTTATAAACCTGAACTTGCTATATACACGTAAATAATAAAAGCGGTAGATATGAATTTCACTTACGAGATGAAGATTGGATACATAAGAGCATTAACCGTGATTTCTACATTTGGTGATTGCCATTGACGTAAAACAGGATGAAAAATACCACTGTGAAGAATATGTTTCGCTTCTACCTCTACCATTTTATTTTTAAAAAATAAATACTTATTTTCTTCAAATTAATTCTTATTTCACAGACGATTCAGCCTAACCTATATTTTCTGACCCAATTTTGCCTCAGTTTGTATATGTATCTTTCTATTTTCTACTATTGTACTGTATCTCTATCCCTTTAAATATACAATTCATACTTTATTATTTCCTGTATATAAATATTAAGTTTATTAATTTTGTTAAATTTATTTTGTAAAATTTATAATTAAAAAATTTTTGTATTAATGTAATATTAATTACATTATATTGTTTTAATAACACAACATTGTTTTATATTATATTTTTTAAATAACAAATATTAAAAAAATTGAATAAAAACAGTTAAACAACTTACACGTATATTCTTCCTTTAAATGTACCGTAAATGCAATGTATCTTTCTCTAAAAATGGAAATGTATTTAAAATTGCAAAATAATTGTCATCGTGATAAGCTAAAAGAACAATAATAATTAAGAACAGTACTAGTTACCAAAATATTTAATGGATTTATAAATGTTTCTTTTGCGGCGAAATTTTGTTAAATAATTATTCATAAATTAATCATTTATAATTATTTCTGAATATAAAAAAATATAAAAACATAAAAACAATAATACTATTTTATAACGCGCCAATATGAAAATAGATCAAATTCCTGAAGTATTGTTATTATTTTTATTTGTATTATTTAGGGCCGTATCACTGGACACGTCTTGAAAATAGATTTTGGTTTTAGGAATTATAAGCATCTAGTTGCAATCTTGTCTATTATCAGTTCGGAATTGCATTCTTAATTTTTTCTAAAAACATTCATTTTTGTTAAAGTGGTAATTGCTATTGGGCAAAAAATGATGAGAAAGTAAAATGGAATTTAAACTAAACATAAATGTAGCGAAGCACTATAAGTAGTTTTTTACAATTTTGAAATTTACGAACGAATAGAAACCTACAGTGTATTTAAAAACTAGAAACTTGGAAACAGAAAATTCTCAATTTTTGTTAGATTTCTTATTAAGAAATCTATTTTTCGGCGATAAATATTAACATTGTCTAATAGCATTGGTATTAAATACGTCATTTTATTTAAGTTCCGAAAATGCTGCGATCTACGATTGATAACCGAAAACGACAAGAAGATGAAGTTTTAGTGCTTTCAAATATTTATAACAATAATGAATTCTCTCATAGTAAAGAAGATATAATACAATGCTATTATAACGTATTTCCTCTTGTCAGTGATGATTTACTGAGACTTGAAAATATTTATGAAAAGGATTTTGATTCATTTTCTAGTTATTTTGTCAAATATTTGCCACCTATTAGAGTGTATTTACAACTTAATACAGATTATCCTACTGAAAAATCACCGAACTTCTATATTATTTCCTCATGGCTTTCACCTTGGCAGATATCTCTTATTTGTCAGAAATTAGATGAGATGTGGCTACAAAATAAAGGTCAAGAAATATTGTTTTTATGGTTTGAATTTTTAAGAAATGACGTCCTTGATTTTCTTAATATTAAAAATACATTAGATATTTCATTTATATATATGACATATCATAACATAACAGATTATTTTAAGTTAAGTTTAATATTTGAAAATGATATTAGAGCTATATATAGTATATTATTTTTTAGTCCATTGAAGTTTTTAATAACTTATGATAAATATAAACAAGAGATTGAATTTGAAAGTAATCACTTTCTATGTATTATATGTTTTGATGAATATTGTGGAAAACAATGTACAAAGCTTAAAAATTGTAGTCATGTATATTGTAAAAATTGTATACAACAATACATTACTATGAAAATTAAAGAAAATAATGTGAAAGATATTACATGCCCGAATTTGAGTTGCAATCTTGACATTACACTTAATGAAATTAAAAAATTTTGTCCAGAATTATTTTCAAAATATGAAAATACATTACTACAAATAACATTAAACACTATGAGAGATGTAATCTTTTGTCCTAGAATTTCATGTCAATGTCCACTTATAAAAAATGATGATGACACTCTAGCTATTTGTAGCAAATGTGATCATACTTTTTGTACTTATTGCAATAAGGTATTTAACTTTATAATGAAAAACAAATGTTGATTGTATCTTCACTATATATTATATATGTATATCACTATAAAAATATATAATAAATATACATTAGGTATATCATGGAGTTGAACCATGTGCTATGTCTCTAAATAACACATTAAAACTTATTGAACAATATGAAAAAAGTAACAGAGATCAAAAAAAATTGTTACAAATAAAGTATGGAAGGAAACAATTGCAAATAGTCGTTGAAAAATATTTAACAGCAGAATATTTAAAGGTACGTATCAATAATAAACAATTTATGTATTGATAGTTTTATAATGTAACAATAATATTTATAGAAAAACAGTAAATCATGTCCAAATTGTTTAACTGTGATTGAGAAGATTGATGGATGCAATAAAATGATATGTAATTATTGCAAAGCTTGCTTTTGTTGGCTTTGTGGAGTACATATTACTACGAAAAATGCATATGACCATTTCTTGAATGTTGATAATAATTGTTATCAGCGTTTATTTGATATAATAGAAGAAGAAAATACTGAACTATAATATAGAGAGTATATATATTTTTTGTATCAAAAATATGCGATGTATTTTTAATCAATAAAAATCACTATTTATATGTTTGTGTTAATTATGTACAATTAATTAACATGCATATATATTATACATATTAGTAAATGATTTTTTTTTTTACATATTAGTAAATCCATTTTTTTTTTTTTTTGGTATTAACAAGTATCTCTTGATATATGAATCTCAACATTAGTTTCTGTTACTAACTGTTCTGTAACTGTTAATCCATCTCCTTGATAAGATGCTGTATTATCTAAAAGTTATTATAAATGTTTTCTAATATTTTTTAAAATTTGTAATAAATATCTTATACAATATTTAAAACTTACCAGCACATTCTTTATCACAGTCTATCAATGTTTGTTTTTTTAAAAATTGCTTCATATTTAATTCTATGAGTTTTGGACCAAATATCCAATATCCAATACCTCCTCCCAATATAATAGCAATATTTACATATATATTATATGACATAACAGCTAACATTAAAAGGTAACCAAGGGATGTATGTACAAACCAGTGAAATAGTTGAAAACTCCATGTAGACCATTGTGTACTAATAAAACAGTATTAATTTATAATGTCAATTTATTTTTGTAATTTGTTATTCAGTAATTTATAAAATATACATAATACCAATGTAAAGAAATATATCTTCTGATAGATTTTGAGGATATTCCTGGTAATAAACAAGAATTTTCCGATAATGTTGGACTTTGATTTTGTATAAGGGTTAAATTACTTTGATGTAATTTAATTTGTAAAACTTTCATACTTTCATACAATATTGCAAGTGCAAATAAACCTAAACAGGTGCAAAAAAGACTGGAAGTTGTGACAACATTATACCCTGGTAAAAGAAAATTGCCTAAATTGTTTCCAAACCAAAACCACATATGCATCTACAAATAAACTAAGACTTAATATTGATGATTGAAGAATATGATTATGAGGTTATACGTACCGTAATTAATCTTATTCTCTTTTAACCTGCAGTTTTAAGACAACTCAAATTGACAAGAGTTGTAGATATAATTGTCTTTAACATTCTAAATAACACCTAGCTTTACCACTTATCGTTATATTCGTTAATGACTCAACTGTATATTATTTACTGTTACTACATTTGAAGTTTTATAAAGAATCATAACACTGAAATCGTACTCATACTTTGCCATTTTGATTGTATTTTTATTGTAAATAATAATAATACAGGCTACATTCAATTATGTTGTTAAAAATATATAAAATATAAAATTTATAAAACTTATATTAACATATATTAATAGATATTAAAATTATATATATACATGATGTGTATACTGCATATACGTGCATATACATGATTACGTGTAGTATAATTGAATTTGAGTTGCAACATAAAAGTACTTGATCTAGTAAGTTTCTTAACTTTATGTTGTTTAAAGTTAAAGTTGCTAGGAAACAAGTCATATAACGCTAATATAATATGCATATTGGTTTTAAATCTTTTCGATCATGAAAACATTTTTCCTCAGAATTAAAGCAGGAGCAAAAATATGGTACGACCGTACATTCTTTCTAATCAAGTGTTAATTAACTGAAGCATAGGAAACTTGTGATCAAAACAGTATATTAGAAATATATCGATCGTTCATTGGCCAACAACGAAGTAGAAAAGAATTATTTTTGAAAATATAAATTTCACTAAGCATCATAAACATCAATATTCATTTAATAGGTAAAATTTCAGCATTCTTATATAAAAAGAAAGATACCAATTAGAAAAGTTTAAATAAAAGGATTTATAAAAAGGAGCCGGAAGGTGGCGGACAGAATAAAGCACGACAGCGCTATCTACATCGTTGGGACAAGCAAGCGTGGCTAATCAAAGCACTAAAAGGTAAGCCGTAAAGGCTGTTTATTTTTGGATTTTCGTTCGTCCTACAAGATTTTTTCTCGAGTAATGTGCTTCCTGGCCGTGTCGGACGGTACATCGTGTTTGAAAATCAGTTGACGAAGCAGCAATGACCACGGAAACGTAGGTGAACCGCCGGACAGGCTGTAACGTCGAGCATCTTGCCTAGTAAAGTGAAAACTCCATTTGCTCCCCTCACTCTGAACTCCCCATACCCAGCCTCTCGTTGGCGCCTTTCTAACCAATTGCCAGGCGTACATTAAGCACTGACGTCGTACGTACGTGTGGATAATATACGGAGATCCGAGAACTTTTTTTGCGCACGTACCTTTATGCGTTGTACACGAATCCTGCGCTCTTCTAATGCAGTGATCATTTCTGTGTAGATTGATAAGAGAATATTTCTTTCACTTTGTTACCCATAGGAAAATGAGCAGTTCTGAGGAGGTATCTTGGATTTCGTGGTTTTGCAATCTTCGAGGCAATGAATTTTTTTGTGAAGTAAGTACCTTTTTTAATGCAATATCTCAACATGTATATTTTAACCTGCTAGTTTTTTTTGAGGTTAAGAATTGTAAATTTGTTGACATTTGTTGTCTAATTCTACGACTATATAGTTTGCATAAATTTTTATTTCTCTATATTTAATAACAATTAAGTACAAAAATTTTCAATAATTAATATATTAATTAATATAACTATAATTTATCATGTGCGTTGGTTGATACAGTATTCTTGCAGGTTGATGAGGATTACATTCAAGACAAATTTAATTTAACTGGATTGAATGAGCAAGTACCACATTATAGGCAAGCATTAGATATGATACTTGATCTTGAACCTGGTAAGTATATTATTTACGTCTTGCCAGAAAATATCAAAGTACTTTTAAGCTTGTTTCTATTCTGTAGATGATGAATTGGATGGCCATCCAAACCAGTCTGAATTAATTGAACAAGCAGCAGAACTACTTTATGGATTAATTCACGCACGATACATTCTTACTAATCGTGGCATTGCTCAAATGATTGAGAAGTATCAAGCTGGAGATTTTGGTCATTGCCCACGTGTATATTGTGAATCCCAACCTATGTTGCCTCTTGGTCTTAGTGATGTTCCTGGGGAAGCAATGGTCAAAAGTTATTGTCCCAAATGTATGGATGTTTACACACCAAAAAGTTCTCGACATCATCATACTGATGGAGCATATTTTGGAACAGGATTTCCACATATGCTTTTCATGGTTCATCCAGAATATAGACCCAAACGTCCAACAAATCCATTTGTACCTAGGTAAGTTGAAATGAAAGAAGAATCTTTGCAAATAGGTGTAATGCAATTTGTTTGAATTCAAATGCAACAGCAAATGTGTATTTTTGATAAAATTATGTAAAATGAAAAACAATATTTTTACAGGTTATATGGCTTTAAAATTCATCCTCTAGCATATCAGTTTCAACAACAATCTGCATCAACATTTAAAGCACCATTGCGAGCTGTTAATTATAATAATGGAAAACGTTAAAAAACATTGCAACATAGTTTAGAACATTTTTTCATTATTCAAAATACAATTCCTAATTTCGTCCCTAAGGATTAAATAAAATATTATTTTTTATATCGATCTTTACACATCTTAGCAAGGCGCTGAAAAACTGATCGTTTCGTTTGACCATCTGTAATTAAAAGTTTGAATGTGACTTGAACTTTTCGGATTTTTCCACGGTATTTATAGCATACCGAAAAGATTCAAAAGTGACATACCAAACTAACATTGTTTACCTAGCGCCAAAGTTCGTTTTTATTTCAGCTTTAGTAACAATCTTCTTTTATGTTGAAAATCATACATGTATGATTATATGTCAACTTTGATCGAAACAAGTGAAACACTTATGATAATTAGGGAGTAAAATTCAAATAAGAATTACCATAAAGTGTATCCATTTAAATATTTTGCATCCCCGTATTTGCTGCCTAGTAGTTCCCAAAATACGAATAAAAGCCGATCTCGGAACAGGTAGCAGCAGATATCGATTTTCCCCCCCCCCCCCCCAAGAAGAAAAGAAGATACATATAAATTGATCGTTTGTTAAATATAATTTAATTTAAATATTAAGCTGTGAAAAAAAGCAATTTATTTATACATGATTTATCTTAATAAATACTGAACTCTGATAAACAAGATTTAAAGCAAATTTAAAAGTAAAGACTGTGTTCTATAAAATCTTGTTTTTGTCACAATTTTTTTTGAAAACTGCATTATATGCAACTTTTAGTAACCAGAAAAAAATTTTTTAAATTTTTTGAATATGATATGTATTTAACACAGACAATGCATATTTTAATATAGTAAAATAAAATGATTAATACTATTTTTTTTTATTATTATTATAAGTGTTCAAAATTGTTATTTGTATATTAATGAGTTATAGATATATTTTTAAACATTTTGAATCAAATATATTTAAATTAAATTAATTTTATTCAAAAAAGTAAATGTATAAAAAATGGATTTTAAATAAATATGTTCTCGTATCTTTTCAATATCGATATTCAACATCTACTTTAAAAATTATAGAAAAACTTATAAAATTACAATATAAAATAAAGTTCCAAAGTAATTTTTAAAACTTCGACAAAATGGAATTTACTTGTAAAATCGAAGTATTTATAATATTTAAAGAAAATGTATTAGCAAATGAATTATATTTTACATTAAAGTTGATTGTTTTTCAGTCATTTATTATATATTGCTGAATTTTCTCTCGAGTATAAATACAAATTATTGTAACATAACATAACATAACCTACTGTAAAAAAATTATTTTTATGTTTATTATGTTAATTTAATAAAAAAAAAACCTTTTGATGTTTGACATAAATGATTTATAATTCACATGAAAGCGCCAGTGCAATTTTGAGAAATGTCTCTAGATTTCTAGAATTATATATTGCAACACTGTTAGCATTGACCAATCAACGACTGTATTTAAGGTTTGAATTCGTAATGTAAACGAAAAACCGGTATGATACAAACTAAACAGTATAGTGTCATCAAAATCAATTATGTATTTTAATGCATATGTTCTAAAGTTAAGTGTTTCTGGTAGCATTTAATGAAATGTGTTTTAAATCTTTATTAATAATACATTTTAAAATTGTTTGTTAAAAATCGTGATTCAAGCGATTTTTGTAATTGTAGGTACGATAATATTTTCACGCCAAGGTGGTTATACGTGGAATTGTTTTGTTTTATTTAATTTCCAAGATATTCTGATAATTTTTAAATATATCAGAAGCTTCGGATGTCCGATTATTGTAATAAATTTTGATATTTTGGAGTAATATTGTATCTTACATGCATTTATATTCTTTTTTTTCTTTACTAGTGTAAATTAATTAAAGTGTATTTTTAGAAAGTATCAGATCTATCAACATAGATAGGTCCATGTTGAATAATATGGATTTTCAAAACCATACTATTTCACGTCCAAAATTTCAACCATTGCGTGTGAAAGAATTATTACATTTTTGTGAAAGCGATGATGATGAAAGTGAAGACAGACCACAAGATTCTGATAATGAATCAGATTTTGATGATGTTTATCCTCTACCACAAGATAATCATGTTGAAGATCATTTAAATATGTCATTACCCTTGTTTAATACATGTAATGAACCAGAAGAAACTTGTAACGTTTCACAGACAGTTGTTTATTCAAAACCTCAAGAATTTGAAATAAGCAATAGTAGACTTACAGAATGCAAGTCTGAAAGTAAAGCATTTCCTAAATATGAACAAAATATGTCTGAAAGAAGTCTGAAATGCGAACAGTCAAATCAAGTGCAATTAAATATTGAAACTTCTGTACAAGACAAGTTTTCACAAATTGAACACAAAAATAAATGTATTACTAATGTAAACATTAAAGGAGAATCAAGTCAGAATCAATATTTAGATCAACAAAATTCCAGCCAAGTGAGCAATAGTAAAAAATCTATTGCTTCTACATCTCAACAATTGGAAAGTATATCACAATCTGGAATAGATAATTTACAGAATATAAATAAGAAATCTATTGCTTCTACATCTCAACATTTGGAAAGTATATCACAATCTGGAGTAGATAATTTACAGAATGTAAGTAATAAAAAAGAAACATCAGAATCAACTTCTATGGTAAATGAAGAAAAAATTCATTGTGAAAATGTATCTTCCACAAGTAAGACATTAATATCAGATACAGGAACATATATAAATTCTATTGATCAGCGGATATTACAAAGTCCTTTGAAACATGCAGTTAGTTCTACACATCCAGATCCATGTTTCTCTCGTAGAAATATTACGCAAACACCACAAAACAAATGTGATATATCTAAAAATCATGGTTTGACTCCAGCTACAATTTTATCTCATTGGTCTCAAAATAATATGAAACAAACTCCATTACAAAATAAAAGTATTAATTTTAAAGATTCTATGCAAACTCCAAAAAATTCTTTTTATTTCACATCAACTATGGGAAAACATGAAACTCCACGGTATATATGTTTGTGTGCGTGCGTGTGTATAATGCAATGTAAATTATTTATATATTGATTTGTATTTAATTATAGATATTTGGATGCAGAGGATAAAATGAGAAAACCTTTAACAGACACAGGAGGTTTTGTACAAAATAATACTTTTAATAAACGTTTACTACAAGGATCTCAACTTCCTAAAGTAAATGAAGTAACACCTAAAGCTCAAGAAAAATCATTATGTAAAAATTTATGTGAAAAAGACTTACCAAAACAAATATTTGGAACATTAGAAAATGATCTAGGATCAGATGTTAATGAAGAATTGAAAGAAAATAAGTATTTAAATATAAAGAATAGAGTAATGGATAAAGAAACAATAAATAAAATACCAAATATCAAACATATTCCATCTTGTATTAAAGACAACAAAGATACTTTGAAATCAAAGTGCAATTATTCTCAGTATCATCATTCAGAAGCTAATAATCAAAATCAGCAACAGGAATTAAATAAAATTGTAGATAAATCATTGAATGTACAATTTTCACTTCCATCTAATGTTCCTAAATCTAGACAAACTAGAACTCTTTTTGTTCATGAAAAAGAGTATTTAATTTTGGATACACTTGGTCAAGGTATGAGTGGAGAAGTTTTGAGAGCACAGGACTTATCTTCTCTCGAATTATGTGCTATTAAATGTGTTAATCTTGAACGTATGGATAAAGATTCAGCACAAGGTTGTTTAGACGAAATTTTAATGTTAAATAAATTACAAGCACCATGTGTTGTTAAAATGCTTGATTAGTAAGAAATTATTTTATAATATATATATTTGTATATATGCATGTACTGACATTTACATTCAAGTTTTTCATTTCAGTGAAATTAAGCCTCCAATGGTGTATGTGGTAATGGAAATGGGAGACACTGATCTTAGCCGCCTTTTAAAAACTATGTCACGTGAAAAACAAATTTCTCTTACGATGATTTTATATTATTGGACAGAAATGTTGACAGCTGTTAAGCACATACATGATAACGGTACATAGCTTAGTATAAGAATACCATTTATTTATTAAATAATTTTTTAAATATTTTACACATATACATTTTTAGGAGTAATTCATTCGGATTTGAAGCCTGCAAATTTTTTATTAGTAAGTGGACGATTAAAACTTATAGATTTTGGAATCGCTTCCAGTATGAATGCTGATATGACATCTGTTGTAAAAAATTGTCCAATTGGAACTTTAAATTATATTAGCCCTGAAGCCTTAATGGATATTGGTGGTAATTCAGATTCACCCACACAGAATGTTAAATATAAAGTATGAAAATAGAATTTTTAGATCTAAAGTCGAAGTCTAAAGATAATTCAAATGTGTTTATTTTGTAGATCAGTTTTAAGTCGGATGTGTGGTCTTTAGGTTGCATTTTATATAGTTTAGTGTATGGTCATACACCATTTCATCATGTTCGTTCACAATGGGCTAAAGTGAATGCAATAACTAATCCAAAGTTGAATATTTCTTTTCCTACAACTATGGTGTCAGAAGATGGTAATAAAGTTATACAAACACCACCAATTTTAATTGATGTAATGCGTAAATGCCTTCAACATGATCCAAAAGTACGACCAACGGTAGCCGAACTTTTACAAGTAGAGTATATACCCACTAAAGAATATATGTCAACTACATTTCCTGAGATTCCAGCAAATATTTTGCTGAAGATAAAGCATACATTAAATGAAGACGAATGGCGACAATTAACACGGGTTTGTACAATAACATGTACAAATATATTATAATATTATATAATATTTTACATTAAAAGAAAAATAATTTTATATAAATCTCGTATTACAGATTTTGGAGAATAGAAGATATATATGAAAGTATTCAAATTAAATACTACTGTTTATGTATGTACATAGGTTTTTTTTATACATAACAATAGGCAATAATATATGGAGCGTTTATTTAAATGTATTATAGTTAAATATAGGACTTTTTCAATACTGGTTAAAAATATAAGATTGTATCATAATATGATTTTATTATAAAGTCCACTTATGTTTACCTACATGATATACATGCAAAGTAGACAATGCATTTTAAATGAAACACGCCTGATCTATTAAATTAAAATATCTTTCATTTTATTATCACACACTCATGCATACAAATGACTTCATTTAACAGAATTGGTAGCATTCACGAGGACCTATTGTGCTATATAGCTGCATGATTGTAAATCTAAAAATACATATCTACATGTTACTCGTGAAATAATGTACTTCGAATCAATTCCGTTGCAATTATTTTTAGACTTTAAATAATACAAAAGTATGCAACGTATAAAAAAAAAAAACGCAAGATTAGTTCAACATCACTTTTTTTGCGTTTTCATTGAAAAAACAGTTTGCACAATTATATTATATTGCACAATATAATTTTAATATTGCCAGTCAGTGCATTGTAGTTAGTTGCCAATATTGTAGTAATCTTTCACCTTTTGGTAATGCCATTGAATTGGGTCTTTCGAATGTTAACATAATATCTTTGACTTTATTTTTTAATTCATTGTCGAATAAATGGCCTCCCGTACGTTCTAATGCCGATGCCATATCATATTCTACAGAAGGAAGGGGCTCGCGAATAAAACGTGCAGCACTAGCAATACTTGGTACTATATGACATTGTAAAGCTTTGATTTCCCAAAGACTACTAAGAAGAGCGTTACTTAATAAAGGATCTCGTTCTTCCATTAAAAACGGGTCTCCAGCACCATTATTTTCTTCTAAAATTTCTCCTTCTTGTGGATGATCAATAAGACGTTTCAAACCAGGATGCCTAAGTAAAAGATTCCCAACAAATAATAAAATAATAAGAATATCTTCAGGTGGTGCTACAAGAGTTAAACGCGCAAGTCTTTTTGCGAAAGCGGCAACTAGTGCTTCTGGTAAGTGCCTAAAAACAAGAATACATGGTAATTCTTATATAATATACAAAAATATAATATTTTCAATTATTTGAAACACTTACGTTGAACTGAGGAAAAGATCAGATAGATAAAATAAACGTGCTTTGTATTTTGTGTGAAATATTTCTGGCTCAAACATAGAATAAAGTTTGGTAAAAATGTTAGGATATTCCAAATTATGTTTAGTAACTAATAAAAATACACCTTGTAATGCAAGTAAGCCAATAGGCCCATCTGCATCCAAGGAATCCATAAGAAAGTCTGTTAGCAAAACAGGTTTTTCCAAATGTGGCATAACTCTCTCTAAAAGAACTATTAATAATTGTTTATGTAATTGTGGTGTCAATTCCCAATGCATAACACAAGCCCAAACTTTATTTAATGCACGTCTTGCTCCTGCTTGATCCCATATAAAATTCTTTGTAGCTAATAAATAAAAGGAAAGGTATGAACTATATAAGTTAATTTAAGTATAAGAAAAAAGTATGGAAAAGTATATTTTTATTACCTTGTTCTGGTTTACACAATAAATTCTTATTTTCAGATATTTCATTTTCTGGAACACAAAACTTAATGTGAAATATTAATTTTAAAACAAGTGACAAAATCATATTTAATTTATTTAACTTATACCTTCAATTTCTTTTGGCAGTGATAATTTATGTATAAGTTCCAACAAATTCTTAATATAAATTTCATGTGGTTGTCTTTTTGGGGTAAGAGATGGAAGACATTTCCATGTGTAATAAAGAGCGTCAGGATATTCTATAATTTCTTGAAATCTAGATATTAAACTAGTATTATCCTTCTCCGGTGAAAGTAACTTCATCAAAATGGGCTTTAACCGATGAAATGGAAAATAATATCCCAAGTTGCTAATTGGTTCCAATGGATTTTTACCTTCTTCAGCCATTAGTTTTAAAGCCGTAGTGAGAGCTTGTAGTTGAACGGCGGGTCGATATTTTTCCATTGATGCAAGTATTTTTTCCCATAATTCTTCATAATAGTTCCTCAACCAATTGATGTATCTTGCTTCAGGACTTGGCTCTGTTTCATAAATCTTATGGAACAGCTATTTCGAGCTCTCAAGCATATACAAAATCAAAAAGTATGTATATATTTTTTATCTCTGTGCTTAAACTTTGTGCCCACAAACGTATTTTTACAAAGTATCAACACAAGAATTTACAATTTTCGTCAACAAATTTGAAGATGCCCAATGTCAAAAATTATTAAATAACGAAATATTAAACTATCTGAACATACCTGAAATAGTAAGAGATATTGTACGTTCCAAGTACATGTCACCTCTTCTTAGAACTTCGACGAATATTGTTTCTATTGTAAGTAGACAGGACAAAGTGGATTCCTGATAGAGTGATCAGGAATTTTAATAAATGACATAACCTTAAAAAGTTGATACATTCATCAATTTGAAATGATTTTTGACTTTGTACTTACATCCCATTGAGAAATTATGTCTACTAGATTATTTGCGTATTTTCTCGAAGTCAAAAATTCTTGAGCTTTTTGTCTCAAAAGTTTCGACGACATCTTTTGACTGGAAGAAGCGCCGGGAAGATTTGCTACATCCGCCATTATTGAATGTGACTTCAGTAATGGTAGAAGATTGTCCAGAATAATGTTGAATATATTCTTTTGTCTCTGTATTTTTCTACAGAATCAGTTTATTTCGTGAATCTAGAGTAATTTATTGCAGAAAGCGTTGTTAGTTTGTTACAAATATTGGTAAGATATGCCGTCAATAATGATATTGTCAATTTCTTCGTTTAATTAACATTTTAAGTTTTGTAACACTGGCTGTTAATACAAACGCATATAATAGTTTACAAGCAAGTTTCTAGTAAAAACATACGCCAATAAAATTTACGTTGTAACATTATAATACATCGTAAGTAGATATTTCATTATTATTAATTTGTAAATAAGAAATATTGTCATTTACATATTAAAGATGCTTTTTGCAAATTGGTATAACTTTGATATGATAAAACTTTAAGTTAAATATCTTGTGCATTTATCGTTATTGATATTTTTAAATCCTCATGATTGTGAGTATCTTGTATAAAATTGTTCTATTAACAAAATTATTTTAAGTTTCATTTAAAGGTTATTTGGTATATTATTATTATATATATATGGATTTAATACTAATTTTTATATCTACTTGTTAATATTTGTAGAAAATTAATTTTTTTATTATAATTGAATGATAATATAATTTCTTATATTTGTCATTATAAGCATAATATTTTTTGGTTGATTATTTATTTTAAAGGAAAAGATGCTAGAAATAACGTGTAATGATCGTCTTGGAAAGAAAGTTAGAGTTAAATGCAATCCGGATGACACAATAGGTGATTTAAAGAAATTAATAGCTGCACAAACTGGAACACACTGGGAAAAAATAGTTCTAAAAAAATGGTATACTATATTTAAGGATCATATAAAACTGCAAGATTGTATCCTTTCAAACAAAATATATTTTGACATAACATAATTATTAACAATATAAATAACATTTTTCTTAACTTAACAATACAGATGAAATTCACGATGGCATGAATTTAGAATTGTATTATCAATAATTAATAATATTGTATAAGTTAATGTTATATACATAATAACAATAATAGTACATTTTATATTTAAGCGTTTCTGATTTTGTATTCTACATGATAGATAAATACATAATATATATAACAACAATACAGTAAACAAACATAAATAGCAATAACAAAAAACAATCTTAGTTTAAATTGTTGAAATCAATTGCTGTTTACAGTTTAAGAACTTGTTATTCCTATTTAACATCTAAATATTGCTATATTATTTTTACAAATGTAATCTCTAGAAATATATTTTATCACACTGTAAAATATAATATCTTAGTAACTTTTAAATAGCTTTCATTTCTATATATACAAATAATACTAAAATGGAGTAAAAAACAGCTTATAGTGTATTTCATGAGTCTGAATTATCTTTTCAAATTTATATCAATTATATCTTTATAAATTTAATAGTGATGTTAAAAAATATATAATTATTGAAAATAACAATAGATATAATAACTCAGTTAATTTTTTATCAATCTCTAGAATTCTAAAAATTAATGTGGTCTCTTGGATAATTTCTCTGTTTTGTTTATTGAACTTTCTGATTGAACTGTAATTCTACCTCTGTTGCTTAAGAAGTCTCTTATATGTTGTACTATCAAATCTATTGCCACTGTAACAAAATATAAATACATGTAAATCACCAAAAATAACTTTATAATGATGGGAAATTTAATTTCTTTATTTCTTTTCTACAATTTAAACAGATAATATCAAATTACATAATTTAAATTATAATTATTTTGTATAATGATGACAATTTTATTGAGATTAAAATTATTTGGGCATTTAAAAAATAAGAATATCAAATAAACGAATTAGCACCACACTGAATAATATAATTAAATGTCTTTGACTATGGCAGTACATGAATGATGTCGTAATTTAAATGAAAAATATCACATCTTAAAGTATTATGCTAATATTATGCTTTATCTTCGCGTAATAAGTTTAATTTGTATTACTATATTGATGCATAAAACATTCATTGATTGAGAAGTAACAATATATAAAAAATCTAATTTTTTTAAAATACATACATGCATGTATATGAACCTTCATAAAGGTTCTTATATGTAAACTAATACTTAAGCTTGTTTTACATAACATAGATCAATCTTATGTATAAAGTTGAATAATTATGCATATTGGAATTATAGTGTTTAAACAAGGTACTTTGTATAATCATGCATTATGCCTAAGTTTTAGGAACAATCAAAAATTAATTTTACCCAAATTAAGGGTTTGATAGATGCATACACTAGAAGCAATATTGTTTGTTGCTTAATACAAGTGTAATACAAATATAGTTGTATAATTATATATAAGAAACAATTGTGTTCAAAAAAA